TACCTTTGGATTTGTAGCAGATTTATAGCAACGTTAAACTGATGAGACAGTGTACAGTGAATTAGTTACATCTACAAAACTTTCTAGGTGTATGTAAAATGATAATGGGGAAACATTCATGTTTAGAGACTGTTACTTCAAATTGTTTACAGTGCAGATATTCACTGTCCTAAACCTTTTGATCTAGAAATAGTTGAGCAGAGGTCCTAAGTCTCTGTTAATCTTTGGCTCTTGGTTTTGTGGCTCTTCATTGTGTTTGGATCTGGCTGAAGTTACTCTGACATACAATAGATGCCTTTTTAATTTCCATATCTTAGCTCTGGTTGTGTCCAGCAGAGGTGGAGAAATTCTGTGAGACCTCAAGAAGAAGCATGGTATTCACCATAACTAATTCAGTTGCCAGTAGTTCATCTGGGGCTGTTCACAAAAGAGAATTGGTCATGTTGATGTAAATAGATCTGAGAGGTGGTATGGGATTATAGTTCAAGGAAAAAAAACATCCTATTTGAAGTCATGTGAATAATACTATTCCAGTTAGTGTTTCGAGGAAATTGTAAGATTGGACACTTGAAAAACATTTACACAACGTGTAATGTGTTCAAGAATTAGGGTCAAGAGTCTTATCGTTTGGAACAGTAAGATGGTATTTTTTTTTAAATTTTATTATATTCTTGTAATTTGTTAGAAACATTTCCTTTTTTTTTTTACCTCTCCTTCACCCTTGCTTTTTAATTCTGCCAGGCACTGCTCATTAAAAAGCAGTCCAGAGAAATAGGTCAGCACTGGCTTTTGGCAAGGAATTGGCTTCATACAGCTTTTTTCATTGCAGGCACCAGAATTCAGTCAAGATAATACCAATACTATCTGCATGGAACTTGGCCACAGTTGGACCTGTTGTATTTTTGTAGATTTTTGCTTTGACTTTAATGAGACTCATAAGGGCCTAAATCAATCTAGCTTTTACTGAATTTTACTGCGAGTAGGGTGTCTAATTTCTGTGGGGGATTTTTAATGCAATCTCAGACTTTATAAATAAAAACTAAGCTATTTTTGAAACATGTTAAACTATAAACTTTTTAACAGATCAGTTCTGAGAGGAGGTACTTAACTGGGGAGGGCTATACTGTGTTCTGGTTTAGGTCAATTGCATTTTTTAAAATCTTGTGGACTACTGTTGCCAGAGAAAATTGCTTTGTCTCTTTATTTCCATGACTGTTTTTGGACAGGATTTATTAGTTGCATTTAAGTAGTATTTTCAAACACTTTGTTCCCTATTATAAATTTCATAGGTTACTTTTTTTTTTCTTATTCTTTGACATACAAAATGTCTGAATACAAGTCTGTTTAAGACAATTCCCAGTTATGTGAGATGGGGTGAGTGTATCTTCGCTCAGAGGAAAGGGATGAAGGGACTTGGTCTGGTGTAAGTGATACAGACATTCATCTCTGTTTTTCATAGTTTGGGCACTTGCTATCTTATCCAAAAGAATTTTAAATTTTTCAAATTTGCATATAGGATATGTTTAGTGTATTTGTGAAGGCAGTGTAACTAATGGACCTGAAACTGGAGCTAATTTTTATGAGAACTGTGAGTTAAATTTGAAATAGGATGAATTGGTGAATAGAGGGGAAGATTTTAATACACATATTAATGCATGGGTATAGGTAGATGTCTTTTGTGAAATAAGGTATTTTAGGACACTGTATACTGATAGCACTTTTGTAATTTATTGTGTTATTGTTCTGTATACATTCTTCTGAATAGTGGTTGTGGTGCTAGGTATCTGCTTTGTTAAATGGATTGAATTTTGCTTATAATGCACATAGCAACTCAGCTGTGAGAGTGTCAGTCTTTGATTTTGCAATTTAATGGTTGAACTATTTGTTGTGTGGAAGTGTATGTTGTCCTTCATATAAAACAAAGGCCTCTTAGATGAAGCTATGGTGTTTGCAGTTGTGAACATTTGATAACTTAATTCCTTTTGTAGTCATGTTGTGGGTTGTACAGGACTAATTGGTGACTATACAGTTTTGAACTGAGAAGCTTCATAGGCATCTCTGTGTTTTACCTTGCAAGGAAACAGGATCCCAAAGTATCAAGTCATAGAATCATAGAATATCCTGAACTGGAAGTCACCCAAAAGGATCATTGAGTCCAACTCCTGTCACTCCCCAGGACATCAGAAGAACCACACTATGTGCCAGAGAGCTCTGTCAGGCTTGGTGGTGTGACCACTTCCCTGGGGAGCCAATTCCAGTGCCCAACAACCCTCTGGGTTAAGAACCTTCTCCTGATATCCAACCTAAAACTCTCATGACAGAGCTTCAGGTTATTCCCTTAGGTCCAGTCACTGGTCCCCCACAGGGAAGAGATACAGTGATAGTGTCTTTCCCTTCTCTTTACCTCATGAGGAAGTTTGAAGACTGCAATGAGGTCTTCCCTCAGTCTTATCTTCTCTAGACTGAACAAGCCAAATTACCTTAGCTGCTTCTTGGTGCTTCTGGTTTGGGCCTTCCACCATCTTTGTGGCCTTCCTTTGGACACTCTCTACCAGCTTAATATCTTTCTTACAGGGTGGCACCCAGAACTGTCCCCAGCACTCCAGGTGAGGCTGCCCCAGCTCAGAGCAGAGCGGGACAGTCCCCTCCCGTACCTGGCTGGTGATGCTGTGCCTGGTGGCCCCAGGGCACAGATGGCCCTCCTGGCTGCCAGGGCACTGTTGACCAACGTTTGACCTTCCCTTGACCAGGAGCTCCAGGTCCCTTTCTGTGACAGAGCTTTCCAGTATCTCATTCCCCAGTCTGTCTGTACGTCCAGAGTTGCCCCATCCCAGGTGCAGAATTTGGCATTTGTCTTTGTTAAACTTCATATGGTTGATGATTGTCCAGTCTTCCAATTTTTCTAAGTTTCTCTGTAGGGTCTCTTTGCCTTTGAGTGAGTCAACAGCTCCTCTCACTTTTGTGTCATCTGCAAACTTAGTATCCTTTCCAGTCCTTCATTCAGTTCTTTTGAGAAGGGAAGCCAGCAACTTGCACTTCCAGCCCAGAAAGCCAGCTGTTGTGTATCCTGTGTTGCATCAAAAGAAATGTGGCCCACAGAGTGAGGGAGGTGGTTCTTCCCCTCTACTCTTCTCTCATGAGACCCTACCTGGAGTGCTGTGTCTAGATGTGGGGTTCTCAGCACAAGTAAGACTTGTTGGAGTGGGTCCAGAAGATGGCCTTGAAGTTGAAGAGCGTTAGATAGAGCACCTCTCCTGTGAAGAAAACCCCTGGTCTGTCAGCCTTTCAGCATGGATAAGAGGATATTTCAGGGAGACCCCATTGTGGCCTTTGACTACCTGAAGCCACCTTATAAAAATGGGGGAGAGGGACTTTTTGTATGGGCACACAGTGGTGGGACAAGGAGCAGTGGTTTTATACTTAGGAAGGTATATTTAGATTAGTTGTTAGGAAGAAGTTCTTTGTGGTGGGGTGGTGAACCATAGGCACAGGTTCCCCCATCCCAGAAGGGCCTTTGTCTTTGTCACCTCATCAGTTGACTGTCCTGCCCATTCCATGGTTTTACTTCTTGTAAATGGCACCAGTCCTATTTGTCATCTTCAAGTTTTCAAGAAGAAGAGTGTTCTGCCTAGCGTGGCCAGTGACCAGCTTCCAGTGATTGTGTTCAGGAGACCTTTGCCTTACAGCTTGGTACGGTTCTGAGTCTAACTGCATCTTTTCTTCAGTTTGAGGTTTGAGACTTCTGAGGCTCTTTGAGAATAGCCTGTCAATCTCTCGTTCATTCTCACAAGTACTGCACAAGCTATTCACTTCACCCATGGCCCCTTAACTGGCAACAGCTCACTTAAAATAACACATCTTCTGTGAGGAGTGATGGTCAGCCCCAGCCTTAGGGAGAGGCATTAGGCACTCCTGGGAGCCTGAGTCCTGAAGAGCTGTATCTACCATTGCATAGTCTAGCTGGCTGGAGGCTTCTGACGTGGCTGATGCAGTGACTTCAGGGGAAATGAGCTCTGTAGTGTGTCAAAACCATACCTGAGGGAGTATACGATTATGGACATAAGATTATGCCCTTCTTCTCCAACTGCTGGGTCTGTTCACTGCCTCTGTTGGCTGCTCCCAAATGGCAGCTCCCAGTTGCCAGTGTGCCCTGGTCAAGTTCACTAAGACCCCATTTGAGAGAGTGGGAGCAGCCCCCATCCTTGCTGGCTACACTCACTCTCAATCAGCTGCTCTAGAGCAAGCTGCTGGTTCCAGGTGGGTGTCACCACTCTCCTGTGATTCCCCTGGCTCCAGGCCTGCTTGCTGCAGTCCCTGTTCCACACTAGAGCTGTTTGCCTTAGCAAGGGATGTTTGAGGGCAGTTAGGCTGTGTTCCAACCTGTCACTGTCATTACTGGCTCCGCCCGTGCCCAGTCAGTCACTCCAGGGCAGGCTAGTCGCTCCATATATGTCTCAGTGCTCTTGGGTTAATGAAAAATATCCTTTTAATTCTTGTTTCACTGTATTACCATGAATTTTACAAGTACAAATTTCGGGCTAGTCACAGCTCTTTAGGGAAAGTTTAATATGTAGAGATGCCCAGCTCTCTTTCCTGCTTTTAGTACTACTATGCTGTGCTTGGCCCACATGACACATCTGGTGATAGCAACTCAGTTCAACTGTTGTTTCTGATAGATGTTTCTCATAGCACACCAGCTGCTTTGTTCTGTGAGTACCATACAAATGTCCAGAAATAGATGGAATTATCAGAGTCCTTATCTTTCTAGTGAGCTTTTAAAAGGATGATCAAACTAACAGGCAACATTAAGGATTGTGTAAACATTTTCTGCTGTTGACAGCTTACGTGTGTATTTATATATGTTTGTGTATGTGTGTGTGTGTGTGTGTGTGTGTGTGTGTGTAATAACTGCCAGTAGATTTTATTAAATTTTTTCCATGCCCCTAATGTCACATAGAAATCGTGGTTTTGTTTTTGTTTTGTTTTGTTTTTGTTATTAGAGCTATTCTGCTAATTGAAAAGGAGACAGAAAATAGATGTCCACGCCTACAGACCCTGGCGCCATGCCTCATCCTGGTCCTTCTCCTGGGCCAGGACCTTCACCTGGACCGATTCTGGGACCTAGTCCAGGACCAGGGCCGTCTCCTGGCTCCGTTCACAGCATCATGGGGCCAAGTCCTGGTCCGCCCAGTGTCTCACATCCAATGCCGACAATGGGGCCTACAGATTATCCACAAGAAGGCATACATCAAATGCATAAGGTAATAGTTTATTACAAGTGAACCTTTTTTCCCTAGAGTTTCTCCACTGTTGAAAAGAGCTACTTAAACTATGTTTAGACCTGCTTAACCCCTCTTACACATCACCTGCAAAACTTCAACTACACTCTTACTTTCTTTATTAGTAAAGATTATTTGTGTATCAGATTAAACACAGCTTCCTTATTCTTAGTAGACTACTTTGAAGTATAGTTAGTAATTTGGAAATGTTCATTTGTAAACTGCATTTTTCAGTAAGATAGATGCTATTAGGGAGAAAAAAATGAACAATAGTGTTAAAACTTTAAGGCACACCATTTTAACCATTTTTTTTCTGGTTTTGATTCTTCTTGTCTGTTTCAACGTAGCATGTGCTTTTTTTCTGGGGTGGTTTTTAATTTTGCATGAAATTGTTCTTTCTCTTAAAAAAAAAAGCAAACTTAATCTGCCTTAAAGGATATGTATTACTAATTTGTTTACTCTTCCATATTGATAATGTGGTTGAAAAACGTGGCTTTCAAGTTACTTTATAAGGACTCTGTCTTACAAAGGAATATAAAACTATGTCATGTAGAACATGTCAATAATTGCACTTCAGTGGTTATTGTTGTACACTTAAAATTGTATGTATGCTTAGACTATCAGTTATGTTTTTTGCTTTGAGGAAATACTTGCCTGTGTGGAAATTCCTTTGTGAGAACAGTCTCTTTATGTATTGTCATTTTTGTTTGGTTGTATACCAGAGATTTAGAACGCAGAATAATTTTGGTTGCACTGATTCTACTCAGAAATATGTAGTAGCAGCTTACAGAGCCAAGATCCTGAAAATGTTTTGGCAGCTATTGTTGATTCCAGTTGGAATTGTTATATGCACATAAAGAAAAAATGACAATAAAAAACTCTTTTAAAGTAATAGAAACATGTTTTAATTTTCCTCTTGAAATCACATCCTCATTTTGACACTCTCACGTATGGATCAGTTTCATTCATTAAAACAATATCTTGTCAGTAGGGACATGACATTACCATCTTTTACATGAAGAACTAAAAAATTTTTGATGACACAGACATTAGCTGAAGTGAAGGAGGCTGTGATCCAGCTTTCCACTTGTACTGACCTGTTGTAATCTCTGAGAGATCAGTATGTGCAGTAACTATAACCTTTGCACTTGAATCTTGAGGTGTCTGATTTAGTTGTTAGCCAGATTAGACATTTGCAGTTGGCATTCTTTTGTTTGTGGGGTCAGTTACCACTCAGCTTTTCAGAACTCTGTTACCAGATTTCATAGCCAGGGTTCTAAGGTCCTTCATTCCTTTTGATATTTCTTGTACCTCTAGAAGAAGAAGGTGGCAGCAGGAATTTTCCATAAAATGACCAAATGCTTCACACATTATGTTTTAATTGATATATCCTGTTGTATCAGGCAGTTAATCCTGTGTTATAATTAGAAACAAACCAACAAATATCATCCCACAGCATTCTTTCAGACTATAGAGAGCATCTCACAAGGTTCTGTGAGCCAGAGTAGAAATTCTCCCATTGAGGTGGCCTTGAAATATTTTGAAAAGTGTGCCACAAAGAGAATTGGATAGCCAATTCGAAGATTATCATTCAGTATAGTTATAGTAAATTACTCTCCCCTTTTCTATACCTTGATTCTGATAATGGAATAGACTATAATTTCAGAAATCTTTATTTTAGTAGCAACAGCATTGCTGTTTTCTTTTAGGTTTCCACTTTCAGAGGTTCCAGCATGTCTTCATATGTGTATGATTAAGCTAGAAAATTAGTCTGTTGAGCTGATACAAGTGAAAGAAAGAAAAAAAATGAAATAAAATCTTATTTAATTTTTGTTCTAGATGAGGTTTTGGGTCTGCTTTTCTGTGCAATTCCAGAAATAGTATATTGGGATAACTGTTTGACGGGTCTGAGAAATGCTGTTGAACGGTGCCTCTAGATTATTTTGCAAATATTATTTGAGTGTTGTTCAGTGTGATTAAAAAACCGGTGAGCCACTTGAAGCTGGACCAAATAAACATTTTCTTTTCTGCTTAGTGTTATATAAAATCTGTTGACTTTCAAGGCATTATATATCATAACACTATTTTTTTTAATGAAATGCAGTAAAAAATGGGGGATTGCACCAAAAGTGTCCCAGTTGCTCAATTGCTTTGTGGGGTATCCATCTATGCAGTGGCATGTAGTTCTTTCTTCTAAAATTCACATGCTTAAGTTAAACAACTTTATTCTGTGTTAGATGTTTGACTGTTACAAATGATAATATAATGCAAAACATTTTAAAAAATCCAAAGGATCAATCAATAGCTAAAACAAATTTACATTAATAAATCATAATTCCTAAAGTGTGTTTACTTAAGAACTGTTAATGTGAAAACTAAAGATTGTGTATTCACTTAGTAACCGGAAGACCTTTCCACAAGAAAATTTACTATTAATTTGCATAATGCAGTTTTGACAAATTAATTGCATTTCTTGCTAGTTTCTTAAGGACTGTCAACCAAATTTCCAGGAAAATTCAGACCCAAATTCTACTGAAGTGTATTTTGGATGCATCACAACTATGTTTAAGGAGGAATACTTAAGAAGTCTGTCGGGGCACTGCTAAATGGACAAACCATAACAGTCTCAGAGAGTCTTGTGAGAAAAAATTCTTGCAAGCTGGAAGATGTTAAAAGAAAGCATTGCTAGCTTCCTTGCCTAATCTTACTTTCCTTCTGCATCCACATAGAAGCTTCTCTGGAGGCAGAACGAGATTACATGGTTTTAGTCTGAATTGATAAAGCCTTTGGTGCAGTCCCCCACAACACTCTCCTCTCAGACTGGAAAGAGATGGTTTTGATGAGTTAGATGGATGAGAAAGTGGTTGGACAGTCACATCTGCAAGGTAGTGGTCAATGGCTCAGAGTCCTGATGGGCACCAGTGCCAAGTGGTCACTTGGGGTGGCCACCTCAGGGGTCTATTTTGGAACCAGTGTTATTTAATGTCTTCATTAATGACACAGGCAAAGGGACTGAGCAAGTTTACAGATGACTCCAACCTGAGTGGTACAGATACATCTGAAGGATGGGATGCCATCCAGAGAGACCTGGACGTGAGAAGTGAGTCGGTGTTTTAATAAGGCCAAGTGCAAAATGCTGAACCTGGGTTGGGGCAGCTCCTGGTCTCAGCCCAGGCTGTGGTGAACAGATCAGAGCAGCCTGGCTGAGAAGGACTTGGGGGTGGTGGTGGATGAGAGGTTAGACATGACCCAGAGAGCCAAACGTGTCCTGTGGTGCGTCCAGAGCAGTGTGGGCAGCAGGGGAGGGAGGGAATTTTGCCCCTCTGCTCTGCTGAGACCCCACGTGCAGGGCTGCATCCAGCTCTGGGGTCCCAGCACAGGAAGGACATGGAACTGTTGGAGCTGTCCAGAGGAGGCCACCAAGATGATCAGAGGGATGGAGCACCTCTCCTGTTAGGGAGGGCTGAGAGAATTGGGTTTGTTCAGCTTGGAGAAGAGAAGGCTTTGAAATGACCTCATTGCAGTCTTCCAGTACCTGAAGGGATTCTGCAAGAGAGGTGTAGAGAGAGTTTTTACAAGGGCTGTGGTGACAGGATAAGGGGGAATAGTTTTCAACCAAAATACAGGAGGTTTAGATTAGATACTAGGAAGAAATTCTTTCTTTGGAGGGTAGTGAGGCATTAGAACAGGTTGCCTACAGTAGCTGTCCATCTTCCGTCCCTGGAAGTATTCAAGGCAAGTTTGGATGGGACTCTAAGCAACCTGGTCTAGAGACTGCCACTGCAAGGATTTGGAACTTGATGATCTTTGAGGTTCCCTCTATCCTAAGTCGTTCTATGATGCTATGATACAGCCTTCTGTATCTTCACAGGTGCTAGCTGGACCACATGATTTTAACTGCTAAACTTCCGGTTATGACAACATTGTAGCTTGTTAATTTGCATGGTGCTCACTTTAGGGATGGATGGAGTACTACGAGCTCTTGGTTTCTTTTCCATTTAATGGCAACCTGATGCATAGTCACTTCTTTTGTGAATTTGTAATGGGGTGTAGTGTAAATGATTGCTGACAGTGGAATAATAACAGTGATGTCATGTATTCTTAAGAAATACAGTGTTTTTTATTAAATATGTTAGTTGTTCACTTAGATGTTCCATTAAAACAGAAGGCAAATGGTTTTCCAATAGAGATATTATTGGGTATCAAATCTATGCTCATTAGACAATTCTGAGAATCAAAGCTGTTCTGTTGTGGTCCTAGAAGTAACAGCACGCAACATCAGCAGGCATGTTCCCTGCATTACTTTTGTTGCTTATGTCTATGTTACTAAAAAAAGAATGGAAATATTGCCAACCTTGAAAAATCAAGAGAGAACTTATGTAAAATGGTGATTTAGTGATGTTTTTAGAGATGAATGGAATTGGTGGCCAGTTTCCTGCTGCCAAAACCACAGTCAGACTGGTTGTCCATCAGGGATGCATGTCAGTTATGCTGTGCAGTTATGTGGCAGTTACATGGCAACACACTGCTGTTCAGTCTGTGTAATTCCGTTGTTTTAGAGGATGTATAGTCTACAAGAAAACTGGTCTAGTACTCAGTCTTTGATTTTAAGGCTGGAGTGGTTTTTTGTTTGATTTTTTTTTTTTGAGAAGATGGATTAAAACAAAACAAACTCCAGACACTGTAATGTCACGGTTTACCTGAAAATAGGTCAAACTGTGATGTATCTGTGAGAAGACCTTAGTTGCTAAATTCAGAGTAAAAGCACTGTAGGCAAAATGTTCCTTATGCATTAGACATTATGTAAGTCTGTTAGTCTGCCAAGTCTATAGGCATGTGATAGCCTACAGTTGAAGCTCATCCCTCATTCTGTTTCTAGAAGTGCTGTTTATTTGGCCTATTCAGTGCTTTTTTTCCTTACTTACAGGGATCAATTAAAATTGTAATTTCTGCTTGAAGTTGAACATGTCTCAACTTCCTGTTTTCCTTCTGACATATTAGAAGACTAAAATAAAAAAAGTACCCCAGTGTGATAGTACTGCTTTATTGGTGATACAGGCTACTTATCCCAACAATGTCTTTGTGGAAGATAGCTTTAATAATTTATAGAGGACTGAAGAATTTGCAGAAATTATGTAGTGTGTAAGATACCCTCTGTAATTTTTAACCTATTCCATGGATATAGAATTATCCCTTAGCTCTGTAACTGTACAGTGATTCAGAAAAGTTACCAAGAATAACTATTCCTCAGTTCTTGTAGGCCACTGTTGTCCTCTGCTGAATTGCCTTCCCTACTGTATACATTTTTTCATAACCAGTAGACGTGCTTTTAGATGAAATACATTCTTGGAAGTACCAGTCTCTGCATATGTTAACAATTCCATAATCAGTAAAACTAATTTTGGCTTCACAGAAGTTTATGCCATCTTCCTCTTTTGTATTTTTACTAGTAAAAAGCTGATTTATGAGTTCTAATGAATTTAGTTTTCAGTTTTTTCAGCGCATAAGTTTAGAAAATACACAAATGCAAACTCCTTTCTTGCTATGTATTTAGTCTCCCTTCCATTAGACTTGAAGCATTTCAGTTTGCTACAGTTGTTTTTGTGTATGTGTTTGTTTTTTTAATAAAACTTTTTTTACAAAAATCTGTTCTTTTGATCCATTCTATCCACAGAAGCATGCCTTGAATTAAATTTTCTTGTATGGTCATGTCACTGCCTCTCTGTTCCTGTTTGATTTTCTTTAAAATTCCCTCTATCAAAGGCCACATACTTGCTTTTCTCTTCTCTGCTGCTCTTTTTTAACTGACAAGTCCCTTCTCCACTCTCTTTGTGCTGGTACTTCTGATGTACGCATGCAATGTGCTTTTTATTCCCATCCGAGCTGTTTGTGTTCCCAGAGGTTTTGTGGTTGCCACCTATTAGTGCATGAAACCTATCCCTGCAGTTACGTATTCCACAAATCTACAGCTAGAGTCTTCAGTTCTGGAAATCAGATCAAGTTACCAGCAAGTCTCCTCCTCTTGGCAGCCATAAAGATACCAGCACATACCATGACAAAATAAGAATGCGTCCAGCTTTATAGGTGCTCTGGTTCCTGTAGTACTCAGCTCCTGCAGACATGAATGTGAAGCGAGTGTTCTCTTCTGTGTTGGCTATCTTTGTAAGAAGGGGCGAAGAGAGAGGAAAGGATCTTCATGCCTCAGAAAAAGGCACTGGGAATTACTTGGTTAGCAAAGTAGAACTATTTTTAGTATCCGTCATCTGTGTCTACATTTTTACTCCGTATCCCAAGTTCTTGTAATCAAAAATAGCTTGAGTAGTGTGTATTTTTCTGATATAATTTCTTTTCACAAATATTTTTATACTGTCATGACAATTAAATGATTCGATGAAACATGAAAAATCCATTTTATTTTCCTTTTCTATAACTTTCCTCCTTTTAACCCAAAATTCTGATAAGGAAAAATTATAGTGAAATCCTTAAAAAATGCTGAACAACAAATTCTGTGAGCAAATTCTGTGTGTTTAAAGTGGTTTTCAGTCAAATCTGCTGATTGCAATGGAAAGTATAAATTTTATATGAAGGGTTTATGAATTGAAATTTAGAATTATTTTTTCTTTTGTAGAAAGGATGACTTTTGTTTAGTTCTGTTGAAATTGAGTTATATGCAACAAATTACTGAAAAATAAGAAACGTGACACTTTTCTGTGAGCTGATGTAGGTTCTTGCACACTCATTTAATTAACTCCCTACATTTTCCACAAGTTATCTTAAATCTCCTTTAAAAAAGAATTCTCGGTAAATAGATGTACATTTAGATAAAGCAGACCACGAGGTCTCTTTTCACAGTAGGATTTGCAGGAGCAGCATTTAGTGTGCATGGATGCGTGTGTTAGAGCGAGGCAGAGCCACGTATTTCTGTAGAGGGAGGCTAAGTAAGTGATGCCAGTCTCTTCCCTCCTAATAAAAAGCCTTACAGAGCTCTAAATTGGAACTTAGTTAGCTCAATCCCTTCCATACTTAGGGATCTAAGTTTTGCTTTCACGGGAAACTTCATTGTTTCTTAGGACATGTTTCTTCCAATGTTACTTTTCCCGTATTTTCGGTTTCAGAGTCCTTCACTTTCTGTTATGGAGCTGTTTTCAGTGGCCAGAATGCCTTCAGCATGTTTCTCAGACTCTAAGCGTTCTTTTTTTCACTCTCTAGAGAGAGCACTTGGAGCTGTTCTGTGTTGAAGTATCATGGGAACTGTAGTTTTTAAAGAGCGTATGAGGTGACAGGAGCTGTAGGGAGCACAAGTAGTGTTTTCCCTTCCTTGACTGCCTATCCTTGTTTTTGTCAGCTAAGATGAGCTTACCTCCTGCAAAGTCACCCTTTCTTTTGAAGAGAAACAATGTTTGGGACATTCCAGTGGAGCAATGACTGAAAGGGCAAAGTTGGCTAAAAATAGCTCTGGTTAAGTCACAGACTCTACTTTGGCAAGTTAGTGTGTAACTAACATATCACACTGTTTTGTAGTATGGCGGCAGTACAGGTTATGTCTTTGTATTTCGACAGTTCGCCTCCCTGCCATTGCCAAACAGTTCGTAAGGAAAAAAAAGGCTAAAAAGAAAGGGGGGACAAGTAGTCTCGTAGTGTTCTATGCTTCCCTAAATGTGTAATTTCAGGGCAGTGGTTCCTTTTTTTTTAATTTTGAATGCCTGCTGAAAGAAGATTTTCCTCTTCATCTATTTGTTTAGATTTTGAGCTATTCTTTCATATTTTTATAGTAGATTTATGTGCTATGCTCTTTCTAAATACTTATTTTGTTTTTACAGTCTATTGATGGCTTGCATGAAAAAGGAATGGTTGAAGATGTTCATTGTGGCTCCATGAAGAGTATGCGACCTCCTCATCCAGGAATGGGTCCACCTCAGAGTCCAATGGACCAGCATAGCCAAGGTTTATTCATACTTTGCATGCTCTATGATTTTGGTGCCTCTTGTTCCACAGAGAATCTATAGTTCCGTGTAACAGATTGCCAGTTACTTCCTTGCAGCTTTGTTTGGAAAAGCTGAACGGGGAAAGGTAAAAAACTGAATCCCTTTGCTTTCTAGAGTATCCATTAGGCATGTATTGGGAAAAAAACAAAGGTTCAAGTCTGTGGCAGGGGCAAGTCTGTTCCAGATTTCAGTTTGCATCTCTAAAGAAAAAACCCACCATCTTGCTTCTTATCTTATGTGACTACTGTAAATAGAAAGCATTTTAATATGATTTATTATCATCAAATGCCCATCAAAGTTCTTGCCAATGTTTTTTATGCCAGAAGATATAAACTCTTTTTAATACATTGGTACATACCTTCTTTGTGTCCTGTAGGTTGGAACATAAAAAGACATGCATTTTGTGAGCACCTTGATATTTTGGAGATTTAACTGGAAACACCTGCTGATACTAATAAGTTCAACAGCAGCTAAAGCTTGCTGTGTTGCATACTTAATTATTTTACAACGTTTTACACACTTGAATAATACCAAATGATATTAAGCTCTTGGTGTGACACACTCTGTACAGTTCAATTAGAAGGTGGTCCTGAACTTCTTCGTGCTTTTCAGTGGTGTGCAACTGAAACTCTAGCCTCTAACTTGCCAGCTGAATCCAGTCTGGGACCTGGATAATTAGAAAGTAATGTTTTTCCATTAAACCTTTCAATATCGATTAAGTAAAATAGAACTGACTTTGCAGACACAAGTTCTTCATCAGGTAAAACTTTCTCTTTTGTTGATTTCAACAAAATGTAGGCATGATCATCTGAGAGACAAATTTTGCTTGTCTTTGCATTTAGGGGACACTTCTGCATAGGATGAAATGACCAGAGCATTTAGTCTAAACTGTGTTGAAAATATAGGAGCATCGGTTGCAAATGCTTCAAATACAAATAGCTTCTGAGTTGTTTTCTTTTCTGTGCTGCCTTAGGTCAGATTTCCAGGTAATTTGCACTATAAAAAGATGATTGATTGTATTAGTAGCAACTTTGTAAGGCTTGAGACTACAGATTCCTACTCTCTTTTTTGTGTATGCCAGCAACTGTTACAAGGTCAGCAGGGATTACTAGAGTTCTGACGTGAAGCAGGCTTTTAAAAGAAGTGGTCCAAAAATCCCCAGATTTTTTAATATTCCAGGTACTTTTTTTTTACATTATAGAGAGGACTGTTTTTGCTTTCATTGTCTCTTTTTCTCCATTTTTTTTGTACTTACACAGCTGTCTTTTCCACAAAAAAGTGGTGATGGCACTTGATGCTGTTCTGATACGTGCTGGGCAAAGTCCCATCTAGTAGACTTGTAAGTTTTGGCCTTTAGTGTGGAGGTTCAGGGTAGAAAACCAGGTTCCTTAATAGCCTGTCAGCCTATTGGATGTTTTCTGTCTGATTTTCCATTAGAGAGGGTAGGAGACTTGTGTTTTTACAAATTTTGTGGAAATACACAGTGTGATAAAAGAAGGTTTACCCATGCCTACATTTGTGGCAAAAGGACAGTGTGACTTCTCAGAGAATCCATGGAAAGATACCTGGTAACTCTTGAAGTCCTGACAAAATCCTCGGTTGGGTATGGTAGAAACCAAGACTTACTATATGGTTCACTTCCTTGTAGATGTCTGATACTTGAGCTTACATTACACAGTTGTGTACAGTTTTTAACAAAATAAGTGTCAAATAGAAACACCTCACTAGTTCAAGGTCTGGTTTTTACATTGCTTATTGTTTGTAGTCCTCAAGTTGAAGTAGACTATGCACTAATTAATACTTTTTGGGGGCATTTGAGGGAAAGTAGCTGAATAAGTCCAAAACGCCAGGAAATGGATTGTCCTAAATTTGCCCATTAATTTGTAAGCTTGGGGAGAATGGCCATGCACCAGTAAATATTGTTATAGGTAAAATTAAAATTGTCTTATCTTTTAATTCTTTGTGATGTTGTCTATAACTCAGACCATCAAGAATAGTTTTCTGGAAAAATCACGGAATCATAGAAACATACTATAGTTTGGGTTGGATGAGGACCTTTAAAAGTCATTCCATCCAACCCTTTTGCAGTGAACATTTCAACTGAATCAGAGCCCTATTGTTGCTCAGAGTTGTTCAGCGCCCCATTGAAACTGACTGTGAATGTTTCCAGGGATGGGGCATCTACGCAGTGTTCTGAGCAACCTGGCCAGAGTTTCACCACCCTCATAAAAAAAAAGTCTTCCTTACGTCTAGTCTGAATTTATTGTATAAAACCATTCCGCCGTGTCCTGTGTCTGCAGTCCTTTTAAAAAGTCTCTTTCCAGCTTTCTTTCAAGTCTCCATCAAGTATTGAAGGGCCACAATAAGGTCGCCCTTGAACCGTCCCTCTTTCAGGGGGAACAGCCTATCCTCACAGGAGAGCTGGTCCATCTCTTTGATCATCTTTGTGGCCTCCTCTGGATCCTCTCCGTTCCATGTCCTTCCTGTGCTGGGAGCCCAGAGCTGGATGCAGCCCTGCACGTGGGGTCTCAGCAGAGCAGAGGGGCAGAATCCCCTCCCTGCCTTGCTGCCCTCACTGCTCTGGACGCAACCCAGCACACGTTTGGCTTTCTATAACACATCACGTCAAGCTTCTTTTCCACCTGTATCCCCAAGCCCTTCTTGGCAGGGCTGCTCTCAACCCCTTCATGCCTTCATGTATTTATTCTGGGTTTTGCCTCAACCATTGTGCAGAATGTTGCACTTGGACTTATTTAACCTCATGAAGTTAACCTAGTCACACTTCTTAAGCTTGTCCAAGTCCTTCTTATTGAGTAAGGTCAGCCTTTATTCTGATAAATTTACTATTCTATATTGTGTAAATACAATACTATTATATATTTTTATATACTAGTCAAACAAGTCTGTCTTTTTTTTGTGGAGATCATAAGCTTAATTGCTTCATTAAAATGTCAACAAGTGTGATGATACAGTATTTGTACAGTTGTCAGGAAAAACTGTCTTAGCCCATATATGGGGCTTCTGTGCATTGTTAAAGCCAGCAGCATGGTGATAGACACAACCTTGTCTGCCTGGCAGAGTTATAAAAATTCCTTGTCTTATTACTGTATGATACTGTGATTTACGACAAAGATATCACTAAGTAAAATCAATATAATCTGCATCAAATATGTTAAGGTAATTAAATGAGAGATTATAAACTGAACTGTAACTAGACGATCATCCAATTATGGGTTTTTCTAGTCTTTTAGAAATCTGTTTTGGTTCAGTGCTGTTTGAGGTATTTGTGATCTGGAAAAAAGTTTGCAGTCAGTACAGATAAAAATTACATACAGCACAGAGGTTTTGCAGTGCATAATAAACAAGTTGGTTACAAAGACTGATCAGAATCTGAGAAGAATGTGCTTATTTTTCTAGCATAGATTTTAGCGCAGCCAACAACAATGCATGTCTAGGAGCAAAATAGTTTGCTGCGTAGTAGTAGAAACTGTATCATAAAAAGCAGTCTATACTGCTGAGAAGAGTATGTTTGTTTTATCCTGGGGAATGTTAAGTTCTATTTCTTAATTTATCTTTTTAATTCTGAGATAATTAAAAGAATACTTGATCAGTCTGCACATTCTCAGACAATAAAAGGATTGTAATAGATGGAGCCTTAAAGGAAAAAAAAAAAGCTCTATATTTTGGTACTTGCAAATTTACCTGCAAAATTATTTGAATTCAGAATGTGTGAAAGAACTGTATCTTACTTAATGAAGATAATTAACCTTTGGAACAAAGACTACACAAGTAGTATTTGTGGTATGTTTTGTGTCATACAAAAGCTAAGTCAGCACTGGACGTGTTTCTCATCTGTTCATTGACCAAAGGGAGAAGTTTGTTTAGAGGTTAAGAGTTCTTGGTCCGTTTTGGAAAAGTTAGGTATACTATTGTAGCTGTAGTGTTCCCTTATTGACAGAAATCTGCTTGTTCACAGGCTCCAAGATTCTGAGAAGACTGGTAAGCTAGAGTAGGAAGCAATGTCCTTAAATTCTGTGACACTGACAAGGTGGATAGCCTTCATAAAATGCTTCAGTTCTTAGAAATCTGCATGGAACAGTTGTGATGAATCCATAAGCTGTAGTCTTTCTATGTGCAGTTTACAATGGGAAGTGATCACAAAATGAGATTTCATTTATATGTCCCATGTTCCAATAGCAGTCTTTTTAGTTCGTTTTAGTAATTTTGTAAAAGAAGAAAGTCTTGCAAAAAGTTGTATCTAAGTACAATAGCAAGATTTTTTAATAAAATACATGCTTATAAATGTGGGTGATCAATTAGAAGTAAATTGGCAACTGCACATGCAGTTGTAGATATGGTTATGTAAATCAAGCATACAGTTGTAAATGAACAAGTTGATGCAGAATTTTAGAAGTAATGATTCTTACAGCCTATGTTAAGAAATAAATAACTGTTCTTTTCTGAGGTGAAATAAATGATGAGCAAGTCAGAAACATTTGAAAGCTAAATCTACAAGAACTGTGTCATTTTACTTAAGTGCCTGTTCACGGGTTGAATGGCAGTTACTGTTCGGAGATTTTTTTTAACCAACAGTAATTACTAACTTAGGGCATACAACTTTATTGTTTAGTTTCTGGGTTTATTTTTTCATTGGTGCTCAGTGAGATGCATGTCATGCAGAAAGAATGTTTTACTAGCTCAGACAGATCATCACATTTTTATTGCATACTGCAGTAGGATGATTTTCAGAAGTCTGACATTAATTTATGGGGGGAATACTATGAGTTGGTACCTTTCTCCCCAGCAGTTGCTCCTTCCAGTCTTACTACTAAATTGGAGAAGGGGTAGCATTCGTGGCGAGTTTTGGTGACAGATTCTCTTTTCTTGAATTTGTGTACAATGATGTCCCTGTTTAGTCTTAATACCTTTGTTTTGATGCTAATAGGTTAAATAAATAGAAAATACATTGCTCCAACTTCATAGCTTACTACACGTTACTGATTTTTAATTTGGTTAGAAACTGTCTTCCGGCTCTGTGAATGAACTATGGTAAATTCTGCAGTATTTATATGAGGAGTATGAAATTTACTGTAAATTGTTAAGCCCTTAAATAGTTATCCAACAGATTTAAAATCATGGTTAGAATTAACTCTTGAAGGGGATTGGGGAGAAATTGGAAAGACAAGCCAAATACTTCTATAAAATAAAATATTTCTATTATAAAGATTTCATAAGAATATATAAATTGACTGAAATAAACAATTCATGTATTTTGCTGGGATTTTTAAAAAGTAAATGAAGTTACTGTGATACAGCAGTGAAATGCAGGCCAATTTTAATTGTTTGGCTGTCATTTTTTGATGTTCGTAAGTGGAAACATAAAGCTGAAGGAATTTAGGATTCTGGGACTTGATCTGTATTAATTTTTATTGATCATGCAGTATTCGTTGAACTTAAAAAGACATACCATTTTTTAAGTTCTAGAATTCACTAATGTACTGCTACTTCACAGGCAATGTTCATTGTCCCTACTGTTCTTAAATTAGTTGCACTTCCTTTTCTGAATTCTTTCAGACTTTTAAAGATGAGAAAAGACCTGCCACCTTATTCATCTGCCTGCCAGTGTAAGACCTCTCGACAATTTTATTTCTGCAGTCCTAGTTTTAAATTACTTGCACACATGTGACCTCTCTTTCTTCTTTGTTCAGTTTCACAAGAACTGGTGTTAACCCTGGCCGCACTACTGAGAAGGAAATTTTATATATTGCTTGCATTAGGAAAGTTTGTAGCCTCAATCTGACGTGGACATATTGTCCACTGTGTTCCAAGACACTGTGCTTTTGTACTGTGTGCTGTGGAGATGTGCTTGATTCCTTTTCTTTGTATTTTAAACTAACTTCAATTGATGATTGAAGTGACAGTTCAATGAGTTAAACAGCTATATTTCTTCAATCTTGTCTATATCTTCTAAATCCAAACATTTTCTTACAGTCGCATTCTTGAGTAGAAATATACCTTTGCTGTTGGTTTTAGCATAAAGAAGTGACCCATATGTTCCTCAAACACTTTCATTGTTTAAGACTTATTAAATTTTAGTGGCAGTTCAAAACCTCTGTTGAGCATTCCAGTGTTTGGACCACTAAAACTTTGATTCTTTCTGTATCATTACTAGGTTTTTTACTTCATTTTTTTCCGTTTCATTATGGCATTAAAATTGGAGGAAAAAGTGATCTGATTTTTGAGCTTTAAAACAGAAAAGAAAGATGTTATTGTTTCTGTTAATTGAAGTTAAACAAAGAGCAATTAAAGCAGAAACTTTGTGTACACACTTCCCTCCAATAATACTTAGAGAAGTGTTAGAACTAGGATTTCTTCCAATGTTAATACTGTAAGGAAAATACCTTGTTTACAGTGTGCGGTGTTGTATTTTTGCTGAGCAAGTTGGTACCAAGTGGGATTAAATATGTTTCTGATTAGACATACAGTTAGGAAAACTTGAGAAGGGTTTCCGCTGCAGCTTCTTCTATGACCCATTGAAGAATTACGGAAAAGATAGACAAGACTCTCCTCAAAGATAAACAGTAAAAGCAGAGAAGTAATGTTTACAAACTTTGTAAATGAAATTCTAATGGGACTTAAGGGAAAGGAAATTCAGCATGAGAGTGATTAGGAATCACTCACTGTCATTCCAGGTTTTCAGAACTTAAACAAGATCTGGAGAAACTTAATAAAGCTTAGAAATTACCATGGTTTTATATTATAGACAGGGTTGTTTGGCCTCCCTTTCCTGGTAGTGGTTAACTTCTATTCTCTGTGTTGTTCAGAGCTGTAGGTTACTATTTTCCTTTTATGGTGGTTAAACTCAATTTTAGAGGATCTTCTTGTGTGCATGCTTGTCTGTGTTGTATGTGTAATAACCTAGGAAAAAAACAAGTAATATAAATACGTTATTAGGACAGTCTTTTGACTATATCTTTTGTCACTGTCATCATATTAAGGTTTTCAGACTTTAAAGGAAAATTTTCATATAGTGTCACAAAATTTACATTGTGTAAATACCACATTTTAAGACCACTACGAGAAGTTTGGAAGGATTTTGTTCTTTCATGACTTTATGGGAGTTTTGTTTTCATTCTTCCTCTTGTCAAGCACAGTTTTTCCATTGTTAAGAATGCTACTGCAGAGGACTTGGGGGGAGAAAGTGTAAGCATAAATAAATATATATATGGATATATATTTAAACATATATAATATATATATAAATAAAATTAAATATATATATGGAAATATCAAAAATGTCTGCTTCTGAAAACTCATCTGCAAAACTTAGTCACAGACTTTGCAGCTTGAACTATCAGGACTGAAAACAAATACTCAGCGTGTTAGACCACTCTAAACTTTTGTAGTCCAGAAGTATTTCAAGATCTTGGATCTGAAATCTGTCAGTCGTTATGGATTTTATAAATTGGACAGTATAACTTGAGGAGGGACAGAAACCGTTTTTTCAAAAGCAGTTCAGAAGACAATGTAATTCCAGTTACATGCCATTTAAAGTAAATCCTGATATTTAGAAACGTAATAGTGGATAAACATTGCAATAAACCTCATTTCATAGTATAAACCACTAATGCAGTTGTGTATTTTTTGTTTTGTTGTGGTATGATGGGTGTTTTTTTAAGCAGTATGCTCAGCAAGAGGTATTTGTAGGTTCCCCTCCTCTCTTAAAATAGTAAAAAGGTAAAAGTAAGTTAGTGGAAGAAGATGGGTAAATGGAGTAAACTTGAGTTACTTGTCATACCTTTTTCACTGACAAGGGATGTATTGACAGTTTTTATATTGAACTAGTATATAGCTCAAGTAGTTCTAACTTTTTAACGTCTCTTTCTTCCTTTTCTTTGAACTTCTCCCCTCATTTTTCTCTTGAACTGTGTAGCTTCTCTTGTTCTTGCCAAAATCATCTTCCTTTCCTGTCATCATCTTTAGTTTGAACTTGGTCTATTTCTGTCTTGTCTGGTCTTTTCCTATCACAAATCCCCTTTTTCCCATTGTACTTCTATCTCATTTTCCTGTTTAGAGGAGAACTGAAATCCTTTTTTCTTCTCTCTCATTTGTTTACAACCTTTATTTAAGTTTAGCACAAATTTCGGTTCTTTGGCACTCTGATCTCTTCATTTGCTTAAGTTCTCGTGACTTAGAGCTGCTGTCGTCCCAGAAGAGTTGAGAGTACTTCGAGGTTTTGCCTATGTTGCCTTTACTGAAGAGTCAGTAAGAACAGTGAAGCAGAGAGCAGAATTTCCTCTGTGATCTGTACCACATATAGATGAAATTGATGTAGTTTCATTTTAAAGTGACAAAGAATTGGATGTCACAGAATCATGCACTACGCCGTGATCTTTGGAGTTAGGATCCGTGGCTTATGAATGTGGAATATGCAAATGAACCAGAAGATTTTTAGATTTTTACAATTTTTTTTTTGACTTCTCCAACTTGTGAGAAGATTATTTGTGTTCCACAGTACCAGAGTGAACTGAGTAAATATTGTTAGCTCTTTTTCACTCTTGGTGGACAAAATCCCCAAAAAACTAGCTGTCTGTTGTGCTTTGGGAAGCTGAAGAAAATATTTAGTAGGTGTAATTAATGTTCAGAATTAAAACCACTGCATTTTCAAGTGATGTAAAAAGATACAAGCACTGTTCATTTCAGAACTGTGATTGCTCTTGACGTAGTCTTCAGCAACTTCTTCAGAGGGTGATTCTTGTGCTTGCAGTTGATGTTTCAAGTTATTGAGCTCCCAGATGGCAAAAGGTATTGAAGATACTTTCTCTGACTCAAACCTTTAATCTGTATAAATTAAAGAGTAATGGTATAGAAAGTGAATGCCATTTATTTCTACTTCTGTATATTAGTGAGTGTTGGCAAAGAGGGCCTGTAGAAGTGAATGGATATTCCTTGATGTGTGTTCCTCAAAATAAACTTAGACAATTAAGCTATGAACTAGGCAGACTTCACTGCATGTGTTCCACAAAGAAACATTTTTACATAGTTCTAGTAAGCAACACAATATCCTCAGGCTTCTGTATAGTGTTTCATGTTTTAGTTTGTCTTACTCCAAATATGCAGATAACTGTTATGTGTAGGAATTATTGGACTAAATAACTGTAGTTCTTCTCAAAGAAGAGCTCCTGAGGCTATCTTGGTATCCCAGGGGACTTTGGATTGCACTTTTGTCTTTGCAGAAAATGCTACAGCTATCCTGACCTGAGAGAGACACTTTTATAGTTTGTGTACTGTTAAAAAATTGGATGAAATTCAGGTTTGACTAGCAGAGTGGTAAGTTTATGATTCTTCTACCTGTTCTAGGTTATATGTCTCCACATCCATCTCCACTAGGAGCACCAGAGCATGTGTCCAGTCCAATATCTGGAGGAGGTCCAACACCACCTCAGATGACTCCCAGTCAGCCAGGACCCATTATAGCAGGAGACCCACAAGTTATGAATCAGCCTAACAGAGGGCCTTCCCCTTTCAGCCCTGCACAGCTGCATCAGCTGCGGGCTCAGATTCTAGCTTACAAAATGCTGGCTAGGGGTCAGCCCTTACCAGAAAACCTCCAGCTTGCTGTCCAGGGCAAGAGAACCCTGCCTGGCATTCAACAGCAGCAGCCTCCCAGTGCCTTCAACAGACAGTCTGGTAAGTGAACCCTTGGTAAGAATGATTGCTCAGGTAATTCTTGAAGTTCTGCCTGTGATAGATTAAGAAATGGGTGCTGTGCAGGGCCGTAATTTGAGACTGTATTAAGCCTGAGCAAGTGCATAAAACACATTATTAATAGGATGTCTAAATAGAATACTAATAACTGAAATAGAAGCTATTTCACTGTGCAGTACTGTGTCTGTCCTGATATGCTTGACAGTTTTTGAATGGTAATTGTACTTTACTGATAGCAATTCCCCTTGTTTTTCTCAAAGTGAATTTTCAGTCTTCTGCTGCTATGCAGCAAAGTAGATAAATAATCTGGATCGCGGTGACTGATTATTTAGTTTGTTGAAAATAAACCACATATAGTGTGCTGTTAAGTGCAAAACAGTAAAAAGGTAGTGTACATATTTTTTTCTCACAATGGTAATAGATGTTGCAGTGAGGTAAGCAAGCAAGCACATTTTGGTCCTAAGAAAACCATTACATTAAACACCCTGCACCTGTTAGTTTCTGAATACTTCCACTGGTGATTTTGCATTAGAACCGAGGGTAAAGATGATACTGTTTTCTTAGGTTTTAATAATGTCATTGTTCACTTCATTTTGGTAATCTTTTAGCTACCAAGTAAGTTGTGTTTTTTCATGAAATATGATTATAGGTATGTGTTAACAGTAAAAATCACTTAATGACGAAAAATACTACTTTTCCTGAATAGGTTAGCATGCTAGAAAACAAAGATTTTTGGATCTGGGAAATGCTTAGCGTTTTTTTCCTCTGTCAAATTGCAGGTATTGGATTACATGCAATGAGTGGTGCTGCAGCTGGACCAGGAGCTGCGCCAGGGATGCCTGGACATACAACTGCCGTTACCCCTAAAACTTGGACTGAAGGTATAGTGGGAAAAAGATGTGGGGAAAAGTAAAAAAGAAAGGTAAAAAGCTGTGCAGGAAAAATAGTGTAACCTTTACTGTGTTTTAAGATTTTAATCAAGGAGAGTCTAACCTTTTATTCATTTAGAAAAGACCTACATAAAATTACTGTGATTTTTAGATAGACTGAACATGAAGCACCTTTTCTGCAATCAGAATGAAATGTGTAAGTTTTCTGAGGGACACACGTGAAACTTTGTACGTTATGTTCTGAGCATTCTTAATTGCAGCAAGTTTGTCTTTCACCTTCACTGCTGTCAACAAAAGTTTTCAAATCACGGTAGAATTACACTGTTTCCTTCTGTATATTTTGTTCTTTTGGAATCAAACTGCTTTGAAGGATCAGTGCAATCTTTGAGATCAAATGAACGCTGTAACTTTTCCCCATGACTTTAAATTCATTTGTCATTCATTGTGCAGTCATTCAACTTCCAGATTCCCTGAGAACTGAGGTAGCACAGAGGCTTTTGATGGGCTTGCTTTTTTTCTTTTTGTAAGCTGAAATACAGTGTTGCTAAATTCAGAATCTACAGCTTGTTCTCAGGTTGCTTTTGTGGAGTTTGATGCAGATGTGTGAATGGCAAATTCTTAAATTAAATTAAATTAACTTAAATCTCTAGATTTCAGGATATTGGTTTTGAATTCAGGTTGATTACACAATTGCAGGTATACTTTGTAGTTGTTTTCCCTAGCTTAAGTGACCATGATTCTTGAGACAATTAAGTGGTGTCTTTATTTTAGCAGTGTCTGTTAGTGAATTTGTGAACATCTGAATGCATGGGTAACTTGTCATAATGAAATACTGAAGTCTGTGACCCTTTGTGACTGTAAATGACAGGTAGTATTTTCATGTTAACTGAGATGTTGCTTTTCAGGTTGTTCAGAATAATTGAGTTCTTGATTATTTGAAATAAATGCAATCAGTGGAACAATAGTGAAACAAAAGCTATTTATATCTGGCAGATATTTCTAAATACAGTTGTAAAAATTTTCATGTGGTTATCAAGTTCTGATAGAGGTCTAAAATCAGACCTAGTTCTGCTTGTTGTCAGGTTGTGGTGAGATGCTTCCTTCTAACTGCAAGGATAGTGGACAAGAGGCAGAATGAGGTCTTGCATTTGCAGGAAATTAGTTCTACAGCTAAAACCAGTAGCTTGTACCACTAGAATTAGAAGTCCACAGGAATTGCAAAAGAAATGGCATTAATCATAAAGTTTCATGTGTTTTTTTTTCTTTCTTTCGGCCATTTCTTGTGATGTATGGTATGTTTACATTTTAGTATGTCTGTTTCAAAAAAGAGAATGTAGTCTCAGTGTGCCTTTTCTGGTCATTTTGAATGTCTACCTTACCTTCATATTTTGTCTTCAGACAGCAGACAATAGGTTTTCTTCCTACTTGCCATGTTTCATATTATGAATCAGTACTGTTTATGTTTCAGGCCAAGCCCCAGATATGAGTGTCTCCAATGCACAACAAAAGCTTCCAGCGCCAGCTCCTAGTGGGAGGCCTTCTCCTGCGCCCGCTGCCACCCAGCCTGCTGCCACCATGCCTGGGCCCTCTGTACCACAGCCCCCTCCTGGACAGCCTTCACCTATTGTCCAGCTGCAGCAAAAGCAGAACCGCATCAGCCCTATCCAGAAGCCACAAGGATTGGATCCTGTTGAAATACTCCAAGAACGTGAATATAGGTAAAAGTGAATAACAAGATTAAAATGGTTGTTGTTTTTCACATCCCTAACTGAAGCTCCTTGCAATCAGCTGCTGTAGTGGTAATAGTGTAAACAGAGTTTCCAGAGAAAGGCTGCATTACCGAGAAGTAGACAAACATCAAACCAATTGCTTAATTCTACTCCAGATGATGAACTAGTGAAGCATACTGGCAGTATCACTAGACACCATTTAAGTTTGAAACAGGCTCAGGGGCTCTGCTGAGTTAGTATATTACGTGGATCCTGCAAAACACTGAAAGTTAGGAAATGAAAATCCTTACAGAAAAATCAATTTCATGCACAAGGTTTTCAGTATTATAAACAAAGAAAAGTTAGAACAGAGATGATCAAAGGCTGAAGAGTTAGTAGCCACAGCAAAAACACATTCTGTGAGTATGATGGATTTGTCTGGAAAACCAGAGTGGAGAGAACAGGAAAGTCACATGCAAGATTAGGAAAAAGTGTACCAGGAAGCATGATTTTCAAAAATTGCCTCCTGACTGTTCTGTTTCGATTATGAGTTGCAAAGTATAGGATAGGACATATCTTTTGGAGTTGGAAAGAGACTTCTTCCCTCTTCACATCATCAAGACTATTTAATGACTGACCTTGAGAGTCTGCCAGGCAGAAGGATTTTGACCTGCACCTAAAATGCGTTCCTGATGGTTATCAGTCAAGGAAAGTAATTGCACTCAAACCTGTTTCGGGTTAATGATGCATCTTGCATTGTTGCTTTGAGTTTGTAGAGGAAGGTAGCCAAGAGGGATGGTGATCTCACAGAGGACTTAGCTAACATCTTTTGCTTTATGAAGGTAAAACACCATGAAGCACTTTTGGGTGTGATGCCATGCCCAAAATTCAGGCCTTGATAATAGAAAAGCTGTTACGTTTTGTGTCAAGTATTGCTTAAGTAATTTTATCAGTGCATTCTTGTCATGGTTCTGCCAGTCTTACATGTATACCCTAGGACTGGATGGTTTCAGCATGAGCAATCACTATTTTCTAGCATCTTTTTCAGAAAGCTTGTATAATTCACCATTTTGTGGTTTCACAATTATTCTAACGGAAGAATTGTAGCACTAACTTCAACCAAGAATCATATGGCCAGTATGATCTAACGTTTTCTTGATCAATTAACCTCAAATTGTTAACTCTTCCTGCGTTTTCAGCCCTGCTGTATTGCACTATTTGTGCCAAGCTGTTATGTCTTAGTGTTCACAGAGGAGGGTGAGGAGTGACAAAAAATAAAGCTGATGCTTTTACTTATTTATTGAACCAGTTACAGATATGGCATATCTATTATGCTTTAAATACACTGATGTTCTCGACAGAGTGAGATCAAAGTTCGATAGAGATTCTCCAGTAGAAGGATTTTATATTTTATGGTTTTTTATCCTAGAACATAGATGTAAGATCCAAGCTTTTTTAATAGTGAACATTACTGGTAATTAAATTTGCTTTGAGTTCCAGGATATGTAGAACTCCTGGAAATCTTTTTGTTAGTTAAAACTGTATAAGTAACATCAGACAAAAGTTTTGAAAAAAGCAGTTTGACAGTTTCTGTGGTTTGAATGTTGCTGGATTTAGCTTTAATATAGGCAAGTTTAATTCAGAAATGTGTTCACAATTTCTTAATAAAAAGGGAGCAGAAAAAAGCCAAACTAAACATCTTCGTCCTGAAAACACTGGAGTTAATGAAAGCTTTATGAAACGGTTCTTGAGATTTCTCGCTAAACCCTTTTAATAAAGGGGTATTATACGTTGAAAACTATTTGAATTCCAGGTGGATCTCTGTATCCCTGTGGTCCTCCATGGGCTGGAGGGGCACAGCTGCTGCACCATGGGCTGCAGGGGAATCTCAGCTCTGCTGCCTGCAGCCCCTCCTTCTGCACTGATCTTTGTGTCTGCAGAGTTTGCCTTTCATGTGTTCTCACCCTGCTCTTTGTAGTCACAATCACATCTGTCCAGTAACTTTATTTTTCCCCTTCTTTAATCTGCTATCATAGAGTCACTACCACCATATTTAATTGGCTCAGCCTCAGTCTGAGGGGTCTGTGCTGGAGCCTTCTGGCATTGGCTCTGCTGGACATAGGGAAAACTTCTGGCAGCTTCTCACAGAAACCAGTGCTGTAGCCCCCCAGCCAGCAACACCTAGCTATGCAAATCCAATACATGTTTTTATAAAACTCTCCTTAATACTTTCTTCAAAATAAAGTGCTGCTTTTTAATATCACTGAATATTTGTCTTAAAGATAATAGTGCCTATAATTTAAAGTTGTTCTATTATGTTGAAAGGCTTTTTCCACCTTCTTGTTCTCTTTGCACATTAAAAAAATATTACACTTGGTAATGTCCTGCAGATTGTACATGGTTTCTTTCTGTTATCTGCAAAGTATCTTCTTAGGTATCTTCTTTACTGCATGGCATCCATGCCAGACAGGTTTGATTGTGAACCATAACCTCTGCAGTTGACCTGAGTTAATGTGCAGTGAGTGTGCCTCACTTATTTTGCAAAGAGATCTTGCATCCATTCAATGTCCACTTTCTGCATGAAGGTAAATCGCTGAACTGCAAAGATTAATTGATTACATCCGTTACATGGTGAGATTATATACTTCAAGTGATTGTAAAAAGATCTAAGAAAATTTTTTCTTTGGATTCTCTTAATAGCTGTTCGCTTTGTTCCATGAAAATAGCAGCAGTACAACAAACTGTGATCCCTTCCTGTAAAGACTAGAAGGTGGCTGTGGTGAGAGATAGCTCAAGCAGTTCTTCCATTCACTTGAGTTGGAATTCTTAAAAAAATCCTACTGATTACTGAAGAAAACATTATTACCATTACTCTTAGTACCATAGACAATACATATAAGTAGTATGAAAGTGTGAAATTAAACTTCAAAATGTGGAGTTTTTTTGGTTTGGTGTTTTTGTTTGTTTGTTTTTTAGTTTTTGATATTTTTTTTCGGTTCATACGTAACCCTGGATATACTGATCTGCAGGATCATTTAACAATAATACTTCTTGCGCATTTAGTTCTGATCTGCTTTTTTTATAAAGTCAAGTTGGAAAAAAATTATTAGCAGTGAAATGGGTTTTATATAGGAGTGGACTGCATTTTGTGACAATGGGACATAATAAGCACACTCTATGAGTTTTGATTATGTTTGGACATATCTCAAGGAACATGTATATTTGGATTTTTGTCACAAATTTTGATGATAGAAATGTAGAGACCAACCCACCTTTGGCAATTGCTTGAACTTCTGTTGTGTGAACTTTTATGACAGCCAGCACTTACGGTATGTTCCATACCTGAAGTTAAAGAAGAAAACCCAATTCTGACAGAACTGAGAAGTCAGTATTTCACTTCACGTTTGTTTGGAAGTGACTCTTACAGTTAGTTATTTAAAACCATGAGGTGTGTCAGGGAGAACCTAGATTAATTCATCCTCATGTATAGTAAGGAATTTGCTAGCAAGAATGCTAGCTACATTGCTAGCAAGAATGTAAAAAGTTCAATGTTCAGTTGCTTTAATACGTTCACAGCTTGAAAGAAAGGTTTGGAAAGGTTGTGACTGCTCCCTTAAGGTTTCATTAAAGTCGGGGAAACTGGGGTTTGGCTATAACTGTTTTGTAGGTGATAGTTTCAGGAGACACACTGCAGCTATTTGGGAAGGGAAAAAGAGTAATAAATAATCGTTGTGATGCAGGATTGCATCCATGTATGGGTAAGCGACAGGTAGAGCATATGATTTAGAACAGCATGGCTGTTTTTCTGTATGAATGTACACTAGCTAGTACATCTCTCCAAGAAACCACTTAATTCTCAAGATTTTACATCCTTAGGTGAACTAAAATATCTTCTTACTAACCGGAATGCCCAGTTGTGCAGAATGTGAACTTTTTTTCGTGTAGTGTATAAACTGGAAAGAGCAAAATAAGGCAGTGTCATTTTCTGAATGAAGACGTTTTCTGCAGGAATAATGAACTTTTCTGGACCGAGACAAGTATTTTCAGCCTTTAATGAAACTTCATCTAGTTAAGAAATAACTCTTCTTGATTTGCTTTTCAGTCTGTATGACAAACACTACTTACCTAATTCTACTTCAATTTTTTACACTCTTAAATATAGTCTTTTGCAGTTATGCAGCATTATATCCTATTTGTTGTTCCAGGAACTTTAGAATTCTTCTGATGATAGTAAAATTGGAAAAAATCAAGTTCTGTCTGTCTTGTCTATTACTCCCTCTTTCTCTCTTTCTTGAATTTGCAAATGAATGCAAAATGAGCTTCTAAAGGACGAGTGAAGTAGAATTTGATTTACAGTAGCATCTATATAGCTGTGAATACTTTATGAACAAATGTATTTCGTCCATAAAATGATGAAGTAGAATTCCAGATAGTAAGGCAAGTATGGTCTATGTCATCACTGACTACACTGCATAAAAATAACACCCATCAAAGAAGCTTGAAAGCAAAATCCTGAATAGTATGTATAAACCAGAAATCCCATATTTATTTTCACATATCTAGTTTTAGTTGAAAAGAAAAGCCAAGGGACATATTTGACATAATTTATTTTCAAAGTGGAAAAATATACCCAGTGTCATCTCAGAACTTTTTCTAGTATAGAAAAAAAACAGAAAAAGACATGTAAGTGCCTAAGTTAAACTGACTATTTTTACTATATATTATTTTTATATAATTTTAGTAAGGCCTTAGAGATTTCTCATGGTGTCTTAACCAGTTTTCTCGTTTTGTAGACTTCAGGCTCGAATTGCTCACAGAATCCAGGAACTGGAGAACTTGCCTGGTTCTTTGCCCCCTGATCTGCGAACCAAAGCTACAGTGGAATTGAAAGCACTTAGGTTACTGAATTTCCAACGCCAGGTAATGCCATTTACTTGAGGAAAAGTTTCATAGCAGTCACAAACAAACATGTTCATGCAGCAAAGAGTAAACTGGAAGGAGATTTTGCATTAGTACAAAGTGTAAACAAATCCTGCGTGAGAGCTAATGTAGCCAACAAGCAAGTCATAGAAATGTTAGATTTTATTTTGTTTTGTTTTGGTAATAAAAATGTTGCAGGTGTTACTTTTGCTCCTTGCTTAATCTTCCAGTCTAGAATGTGATCATAAAACTGTGTCTTTCGAAATGAGCATGACATTGTTACAGAGACAGAATAAGTGGTGGACAAACTGCAAGCTGATTAGAGGTATCAACAGATACCTCTTTCTGGACATAATTAGCATTTCCACGAGTCCCCTTTTTTAATAAAAATTTTCTGTTGGTGTTTCATGTGGTATTTCTCTGTGGTTTTTTTGGGGGGGGAGTTCCACTATGACACAGGCTTTGAAAATGAAGCATAACAGGATCATACATAAGATTTAAGTTGAATTTTGAATGCCTGTATCAGCAAATTAATTTCAGAAAAGAAATCTGCCAGACTGTTATGGGCCTCTTGCCATTGGCTTTTGCAACTAGTTTGAAAGAACAAAGATAAAATTTGGCAGGTCAAACAAAATACTTCTTGACAAAAGCCTTGGCAGGAGTTGTGCCATGGTGTCCAAGTCTTCCTTCCTTTCTACCCTTGGCACTCCTTTGTAATGAAGTTTTGTCAGAGGTCAGATGAAAAGCAGCACGCTCTCCCTGCTCTACTGCTGGGACTATGGCAATACTGTTCCAAGTTTTTAACATTTGTCTCTCCCGCCCGTCTTCTGTACAGCTGACAGTGAAACAAGTTTTTGGTTATGTTTAGGTCCAGCACTAGAAAATGCGTTATGTATGTGGTTCATTTCCATTTTATTTCGATGGTGTAACATCTTGGCTGGCCCCTTTTATTGCAGCAGGACAGTTGTAACCAGCATCTTGTAAAGGGGAAAGAAATTATGATTAAAAGTAATTAATGCGTTTGACCATTTTGTGAAGGTTTTAAGATTTGTTTAGGCTAACAGATATAGCTGTTGCAACTGTATCATTGCTGTCACTACAGTGAAAATGGAAGAGGAGAGGGGGATATAGTTTGAACTGTTTACTTTTTTACTCTGCCATAACAGTGTTTAAAGTAGTTTTATTAAGAGCTGTTATATTTTTTTGAGTGTCTGTGTTTTCCCCCCTCTCTCCACTCGTAGTTAAGACAAGAGGTAGTAGCCTGCATGCGTCGTGACACAACACTGGAGACAGCACTGAACTCCAAAGCCTACAAAAGAAGCAAGCGCCAGACTCTGAGAGAGGCTCGTATGACAGAAAAGCTTGAAAAACAGCAGAAGATAGAACAGGAGAGGAAGCGTAGGCAGAAGCACCAGGTATTTTAACTTACTGGGTGTTTGCCTCATGACAGAAATGCACCTTGCTTTGCTGTGCTGATCTTCTCTTTTGCATATTTTATTTACCCTTGGAGTTTTTCTGATTAAAAAACTCCAAGTGGTGTGATAATTGGAAGACTTTAAGATTAAAGCTCCTACATTTCAATCCTTGCTGTGTCAGAGTGCCCGCACTAACTTGATTCTCTTTCTAGGAATACCTGAATAGCATATTGCAACATGCTAAAGATTTTAAAGAGTACCACCGGTCAGTTGCTGGGAAAATTCAGAAACTGTCTAAAGCTGTGGCAACTTGGCATGCCAACACTGAACGTGAGCAGAAAAAAGAAACTGAGAGAATTGAGAAAGAAAGAATGAGGAGACTAATGGTAAGAAGTAGAGGAAGGAATATGGTTATTTTAGTTAAAGTTATGTACTATATCCTAATATGATATACTATCTCCCATGTGTTTCCTTTGCGAAGCACTCAGTAATGAAAAGAGTATAAATCCAAAACTACTACATTTTGTTATGTGTGTTTCTGTTAATGGTAGAGTGATACTATTGAATTAAACCTATAGCTTCTTCTTTTTTAAGGTTTTTTTAACAGGAATATTTTGGGGTTTTTTACTAGCATGAAATTTTAGCACAGCCCTTTCTGAATAACAGCAACTTAATCTTATTAACTTCATATATTAACACTTTTGTATAATCGCAGGGCTATTGGTCCGTTTTACAAATAATGGACTTTAGTGTATTTCTAGGTTTATAGTTTCGAAGATTCCGGATTAACTTGTTGATGGCATCCACAATTTTTACATATAGTTGACTCCACATAGGAAAGTACCTAACCAATAGCAGTAATGCATGTATTTTTAGAATGAATAGCAGTTAATTCTACCCATTTAATGCTTCAGATCATACTCCTTACCATTTCATGGTTTTTTCCTTCCCTGTACCCTCACAATATCAGCTGTATCATTCTAAGAACAGAGTAAAATGGGTTTCTGTATAATCATATCTCTTCAGAATGCTGTGGAACTAGTCAGGGGGCTGCCTACATTTCAGGGATTAAAATAGTTCTGGAATTCAAAGTTTAGACAAATCAGTGCATACGTACAAGTATGTCAGTGACTTGGGGTAGAAAAAAATCTCAAGACATTGGTTAGCTGTATCTTAACATTTTCCTAGCGTTTCACCAAGACAGAATGAAAGGAAATTTACGAGCTTACTTTGTAACTTGCTGGCAAAAAGCAGTAAGTATCTAATAGAGGTGTAGATGTAAATGCTAGTTCCTTTACAGAATCTATTCCCACCATGAATATGGGCTGAACAGTTTGGTTTTAAAAATCACAAAATGAAATGCAGAAGAAAAATAAATATAACAATGATATAAACTTGGAAATGAAAGCTTGTGTAAAGTGTAAATTAAGAACTTGAATAAGAAAATAACAAATGTGTAGGCCCTAAAGCATTTCTTAAAATTATGTAGTAATTAGTATTACAGAGCTTTTTTTGTAATTGGAGATAACCATCAGCAGTTTGTCTAACCTAGCTTGTAAAAATGTTAATTATTAGCAAAAAATGAGCTGATTTTTAAAAAAAGCAATATTGACATTTGGGAAATACTTTTGTATATTGTGAGGTTCAGCTTATGTCAAATTGAACATGCAGTGTGATGAGTAATGAAGATGTCCACTGCTGAAAAGTATGAAAGAGATTTGAATGTCTGGAAATGGAACAGGATACCAGTGCTTGTGAATTATCAATGCTTTTTCCTAAAACATCTCACCAGGACTAGTTAAGCTCTTACCATACATACAGAATTTCATAGGCATATTCAGTTTAGGGTTTTGCACCTACTGCTCAATTAAATCCTTCTGCAAAACCGATCTCTGTGTTTTGTTAATGGGGTTACTTTGCCTATTTAGTTTTAGTCCAGTTGTGATAAATTTGGAATTCACAGATGTGTACTAGTGGTTTTTTTTAAACATCATCTCCTCTCAGATGCTTGCCATGGTCTATGAAAATGCACTGTGTCTAAAACGTTTTGCCTATCTTTTCAGGAATGCTGAATTCATTCCATAAATTTCCTTTCATTTACTATGATTAGAAATGGTGATTATGTTACAGCTCATTAGTAGTATTATATATATATAGTGAAAAAAATGGGCATTGGTGTGATTTAAAAAGATACTGTCAAGACAAGCTTAAATGTATAAAAAAGTACCTTGGCTAGATTACACAGACTGTATATTCAGTAACATCAGAAGCAATAAAAACAAAACAATAACAATTGTAATGATAGTTTACTTTTCCTGAAAACTCAGGGTTTGAGCATTGTAATTTTGATGGGTTGAACATAACAGTGGAATTTTGCAAGCTCAATTTGAACGTTATAGCTATTCTAACTGTATGCCATTCTGGTGTCTCTAGAAAAGCAGGAGATCTCCCAGAGTGCTATATTTTAAAGTAATCATCTTTGAAGTATTTCTTACTCATGTTTGGTTTTTATAAGGCACTGTAACCTTCCTTAGTTTGTTGTTTCAGCCAAAATGGAGATGGGCACCTCTGCTGCTTTTTTGTATTTTTCTGACATTCTGTATTACATCGTTACAGCACGCGAAAATAATATTCATTGTATGTCCAACACACTTATACAGTATGACAAGGATGCAGAAGTTGCCGGGGTGGCTCAGAGATAGGGTTTATCTGGTGAATCCTGTTTCTGATAGTGAACTCTTATCAGAGATGAAATAACACCAGAGTGATACAGTGATACATAAATCAAACAAAAAAATTTCACATGACATCTAGAAGAAAATTATCTGTATTCATACTGGAAAAAGGACTAAATGTAATTTTATGTCCATTTTCTATGTTCTTCCTCTTGGTAAACTGCCTGCACTTCATGTCTTCAAAAAAATCATCTCTGTAGGAGACTTACCATCTCTGTTTCAGGACATTCAATCTGCCTAACATAGCATTGATTTTTTTTTTTTCCTCCACTGCAGATTTTTCCAGTCATTAGTCCATGAGAGTAGGAAGTGTGTGAAGTCATGGAATCTGTGTCTCAGAGTCACTCAGACTTGTCATGGAGCTCTGTAGTTGAACCACCTTCCACAAGTGTTAATGTTGGGTTCCAAACAGGTTGCTCAAGGGTTTTTTCAGTCCTGTCTTGAAAACCTGTAGCAGAAATGGCACAGCTTCTCTGGCTGTTCAGGTCCTTCTGAAGTGCAGCCCAGCCCTTGAGCATATTGACAGATATCCCCTGATTTCATGTCTTCTGCAAACTTGACTGATGTGCCCTCCATCCCTTCCTCTATGTCACTGTGACACTTTAAACACAATGCAGGATAGACTCCTCTGGTATAGCTCTTCATACTGTCTTCAGATAAAGTATGACTCTTTGACACCTTGCAGTGAGGGATTTTAGGTGTATTGGGGGATGATAAGGTGACCAGAACCCAGCAATTTGCACTTGCAGACCAGAAAGCCAACCATATCATGGCCTATATCAAAAGCTGAGGCCAGTGAAATGGCAAAGTACCATTATGAAAAGGCAAAGTGCTAGGCCCTGCCCTTGAGTCACAACAACCCCACTGCAGGTTGGGGCAGAATGGCTGGAAAGCTGCAGAGCAGAAAAGGACCTGGGAGTGCTGGTGACAGCACCTGAACATGAGTCAGCAGTGCCCAGGTGGCCAAGTAGACGAGTGGCATCTCTACAAAGACCTGTACCAGTAGGAGCAGGGCAGGGATTGTCCTCCTGTACTCAGCACTGTTGAGGCCACAGCTCAAATCCTTTGTCCAGTTTTGCGACCCCACTCCAAGAAGGACATTGAGGTGCTGGAGCATGTCCAGAGAAGGACAGTGGAGCTGGTGAAGGGTCTGGAGCACAAGTCATTGTGAGGAGCAGCTGAGGAAGCTGGGGTTGTTTAGCCTGGAGGAGGCTCAGAGGAGCCCTCATTGCTCTGTACAGCCATATGAAAGAGGGTCATAGCAAGGTGGAGGTTAGTTTCTTTTCCCAGGTAAAAAGCCGTAGGGCAAGCAGAAATGGTCTCACGTTGTGCCAGGGAAGGTTTAGATCAGATTTTACATCGAGGGAAGTACTTCACTGAAAGGGTCATCAAGCATTGAAACAGTCTGCCTGGGAAAGTTTAGAAAACATGTGGATGTGGTGCTTGATGACATGGTTTACTAGGGCGCCTGGCGGTGTTGAGTTGGTGGTTGGACTTGATGTCTTTGGGGTCTTCTAACCTTAATAATGATTCAACCTTAATAATGGTTCTATGAAAGTATGATCAGACTAGGTATTAGAAAGAAATACTTCACTGTGTGAGTGATGAGGCACTGGAATAGGTTGCTCAGAAAAGCTGTGGATGCCCCATGCCTAGAAGTATTAAAGGCCAGGTTGGATGTGATTTTTGAGCAATGTGGTCTAGTGGGAGGTATCCCTACCCTTGGCAGGGGAGTTTGAACTAGATCATCTTCAAGGTCCCTGCCAATCCCTCTGATGCTGTGAGATATTGGTACAAATATATGACTCTGGGCCTGATTGTCCAATGAGCTCTTTACCCATGTAGCTGCCCCTCTGTGCAGATCATAACAACGTAAGATAACACTTCATTATTGACATAGGAGTTGGATGGTGCCCATTCACCGTCATTTCTGTCATAACTGACATCTCTTTTGTGTCACTAGGCTGAAGATGAAGAAGGCTACCGTAAGCTGATTGATCAAAAGAAAGACAGACGCCTGGCCTACCTGTTGCAGCAGACAGATGAGTATGTGGCTAACTTGACTAACCTGGTATGGGAGCATAAACAGGCACAAGCAGCCAAAGAGAAGAAGAAGCGAAGGAGAAGAAAGAAGGCAAGTAGTTACAGCTGATATTTTAAGTTACTTCTTCAAATCCAATTTAAATGTTGATAAATGTGGTGTTGCCCAGAGTGTCTAAAACATCTACACCACCAAATTATTAAGGATGAGGGCGCTCATCTATGTACTGAAGTGTATATATGCTTTTATTAACTCAAAAGAAGGTGGTAAGAAGGCAGGATTATAAAATTCTGATCTTTTAATCTCCTCATAACACTAATTTGCTCATAAACTTTGTACAGGTAAAATTGGGATAGATGTGTAAATAAGGATTAATGTACCCAAGAGGAGTGCAGTGTATTAAAAATACATTGTGAGGAAGATGACAACAGCCTGGTTTGTGTAGTGGTCTCATTCTCTATTTTAGACTTCCACATTATACACTTGGCTCAGACCATTGAAAATGGCTAAGAAACTTGGCTAGGTTTATTATAGTAAATGGATATTTTGCCAGTAATGTTGTTCATTTTGCATTTTTAACCTTTAATTGAAACTTTGCAAGATTACTTTTCTTCATATGAAATGTTTTACCCTGCAAGAGAAAGTCATTGAAATTGAACAGTGCAATTTTCAAAAAAATAATTCCACGTGTGAAATAGTCATTAAAAGATGATTTGTCATTTTTTATGACCTCAGAGTACCTTTCATCTCTTGCAGAATGTATAAGAGGATTTTTATAATCCATTTCCATGCCTGGTTTGCTACTAATTACTGCTGGGAATCCAAGCATTATGTTTACAGGGTTTACTAACTGTACTGGAAATATGCTAAAAACAACCAGCATAGAAAAAATACTGATCTTGGACATTAATGGCCTAAAAAATAGTACATGTTTTCTCCTGCTCTCAAAAAAACCTCTGTTCCTGAGAGTATGTTCTTAACATAGGAATAATAACCCGTCTACAGAAAGAAAATGTAATTTGAATGGGGTTCTTGGCCTGTGTTACCTGTGAGAACAGGCCTGATTTAATATGTATAATGCGCAGTAGAGGTAGTCATTATTGAGACAGCACGTGAAGTAACTGCATCACTTTAATAATGTAAATAAATATATATTCCTTTAACTGTCCACATACGTGATACATTTCTCTGTGTCAGTTTAGCCTGTTTATATGAGAAACAGCGTTATCTGCTGGCCATGTCAGTAAAGACATAATTGTTTGTCCCTGAAGTTGAAAGGAAATACGTCCTGTGAATATTCAGTGTTTACATATATATCCCACCCTAAAACCTAAGGGAAGATCAGCAGAAAAAAAAGTCTGTCTCTGTCTTGATCCTCTGCATCGTTTTGTTTGTAATTAACTTCTTTCCAGCAGTCTTTTGCTCATCTGTGAAGGAAGTAGGAGTTCACAAAAATAATAAGTATTACCCTTCATTTTAATCTATAATTCTATGAATTTTTTCATTGAATGGCTGTGAAAGACATTGCAGTTAGTGGGCACTGTGTCTTTTTTCCAAGTCATACACTTTCAGTTCTTAGGCTTTTATGTTTTGTAATCCATATTAAAGTTTAATCTACTAATACCTGTTAGTTAATGTTTTGTACTTACAGAAACATGAGAAAAGAGAATTCTTAGGATTTTCTTCTAGAAATGGCAGTGAGGAAGTAAATGGTGAAGAAATAATCTTAGCCAGACTCATTGTAGAATATCCAAGTGACCATTATATTCTTAGTAGAATGAAATTTGAGATTAGTCCATTCTTTCTCTGGGATACAGTTTCTGTAATCTTCATGATAGATTTTCCCTGCTTGTTTCTTGCGCATTCCTCTCTTTGTATTTTCTGTCTCTAGCTTCCTGCTGTAGTCATGGATAAGAAAAAATATTCCATATGAAATTTTCATCTCTTAGGCTAGTTCAACTTGCTGTGCAGCTTTTCACTTTATTATTAATAGTTTTTCCCATCATTATGCAGAGAATTAACAAAATGAGACTTCCTGCTTTTTAGTATTGCGATTTCTCCAATTCAAGGATTTAATTGTCAACATTAAAGATCTTTTTGCCTGGTCCAAAATAAAAGTGCGATATATCTGTCATTATTTACATTTCTTTTCTTTGTAATATGTTCTTCTGAATTTCCGAAATTGTTTTTAACTACAGGTTACAAATGTTCTCACAGCAGATTATGATTTTTGCACAGTGAACAGCAATGATGCTTACTGCTTTTCTGTGATTTGAGTTATAAGGTTCTTTTCCATTGCCTGTAGCTAAGCTATAACAATCTTTATGTATTAGACAGTATTCTCTAGTGTAAAAGAACGGATCCCAACTCTGGTTCATCCAGGGAAAAAGTATCCTCAGTCAATGTAGTGTGTTCAGACAAGGCTAGATACTTTTTTTCGTAACTTGTTGTGCCCTTGTGTTTATTTAAAAATCCTCACTTCTGGTACAATTTCTTTCTTTGTCAGCAGTCATACCTGCTGCTCAGAAATGCTGAAGCGGGCAGCCTTGAAGCTTTTATTGTTGTTGTTCCTACTAAGCATCAGCTGCTTCCTATTCATTTCAAGTACACGTTTTAGATAATGGAATTTAATGGCAAAGAAAAAGGCTGAAGTATGATGTGAAGCAGATATTAAGAATTATATCAATATTGAGAAGTGCAGCTATTCCTCAAGTATACTTCTCAAAAAAAAAAGGAATAACATGATGGTCTATTTTTTTATTTATCATGCACTTTAATAATACCTAGAAGTTTTTTATCTCTAAAACACAGTTGAAGACATCACTTCTTGTTAGTCTATTCTCTTTCTATTCGTGTCCAAAGTCATATTTTGCTGTAGTACTAAAAAACCACCAGTGTGACATAAGGAGAAGCTGTAAAATGCCCTTTCTTGCTCAGAATTGCTTAGGAAAGTTTGAATGCGGAAGCAAACTGTAAGTCTTTCATTTTTCCTCATAGTGTGCTGACATTTTTAAGTAAGGTAAATGAGGATAAGCCTTGAGGAAGATACTGCTCATTTCTCAGGTTAGTACATGGAGAGAAAAAAAACTAGCCTTCTCCAGTGAAGAACTCCAGGGTTCTTTTTGTTTCTAATTGAGTAAGGTCTGCACACGATTGGAATATAATACAAAGAACTGAAAAAATACTCTCCTTCTAGTTGGTTGTCAGACCAAAAAAACCCGAAATATATACCCAAGATAAAAGTGTCTTGCATGAATATACAATCTGTGATGCCTGCTGACACCTTTAAAATGAAGATTAAAGCAGTTTAGAGGAAATTAATAGTAAATAATATGCAAATAATTTATTGTTTTATTTGCATTAGAATAGCCTGTAAGCAACTGAGCTTTAGGTCTGAACCAGGAATTGAGTGGACCAGACATTTCTTCTATGCAGATTTATATCATTTATAGAGATGAGTAGGTACCCTCCTTACATTGGTAAATCCTTTGTGCGTTAATTGCTCTGGGCCTGTCTCTGTCTATATCCATCTACACCTTCAATAACTTGAATACCAGGCTATTCAGAAATAAGTGAAACATATTCATGATCCAAAATATTTGCATCATATGAGGTACTCTTTCTGTACTTTTTATCTGACCACAGTATTTATCACTTCTTCATTTGTTGTAGAAAGCTGAAGAAAATGCAGAAGGAATGGCATCTGGTCTTGGTCCTGATGGAGAGGTATGAACTTTTACAAAGTGTTGGCTTTTATTCTTCTTCTCTAAAAAAAAAAACCGAAACAACTTTCCAGTGATTATTCTGGATTGTGTGGCATGGCTATAACTTTGAAAAGAGTTACGATGACAACTGTTCTAGGAGTCATTGTTACAAACAGAAATAATAATAACCGAGATTAACATTTATGCTAGCTTCTCAATGTTCCTAAAATCAAAGACTGAAACTAACAGTATATCCAGTCTATCAGTGTGCATGATGAAGTCTGCCTCTCAGTTTTGTAATGTGCTTGCAAGAAATATTTTTTTGCAGTCTTTATATAGACAATTACTTTATAGTTTGAGCTCGTAAACACCATAAAATCCATCCTGTCATCTTTATGAAAAATACATTGTTGACATTGCATGTAATTACCTTTCAGTCACAGGACAGAGTACAGTGTTATGATGGATTAACACATCTGAAAGTCCTTTCTTCCTCAAAAGCAAATGCAAATGAGTAATTTTTCTGTGTCATTCTTTCGATAATATCATTAATTAAGTAGCAGAGCATATGCTGCCTCATTCAAAGCTCTTCTCTTAGTGCAATTCTATTCCATTTAATTTTTATATAAAGACTTAAGAATTGTACTTACTGTTTTACTTCTCTCTTTTAATACTTGAAAGTGACAGCTCTGCTGATGCAGTTAGAATTACAGGAAAATACTTTAATATATTTGTATTTGCACAAGAAAAATACACGTAGCATTCCTGTAACTTCAGTATTAATGGAAATTGGCTAAGTTTTGTACTCTGTCAGTCATTGTATTTAGAATTGTTCATAATTTTCTTGCTCATATATATCTATTTGGAAAATATTCTTTGGTAGAAACAGTATTAGAAGGGAAGTTTTTGAAGTAAAAAAATCCGTGATTAAACAGGCCAAAGAAATAACATAAGTGATTATACTATTCTAGTTTCGTTACAACACAGATGAGTAAGAGCTTTTGTTCTTACAGTTTAGTTGGAGAAGTTAGGACAGTAAATCTTTAAAACAGGCCTTTATTTAGAAAGTTAACTGAAATGTTTGATTCTTGTTTCTCCAAAAAAAGGCCACAAGGTCACTTTATGTTTTTTGTTACAGAGTCTGTTGGTGTACATAATAGGATTTAATGCCTATAAAAATACATACCTTACGTCTTGATTCGCAAAAACCAATAGTGTATTCTTCTCCATGCTGCATTTTTGTTAATTTACTTGGGATACTGGGCTGTATTTGTGGGTGTCATGTAGTGTGTGTTACATACAGAAGTACTGTGACTCATTGTTTACTTAGTGGGAAAGCGTGGCATCTAGTAACAAAACTTCACTGGTTGTTCAGAACTGGAGTTTTGATAGTGCTATTAGTTGTTTTTATTATATAAGAGAAGTATGAAGTTTAGTTGCCTTTTGGTGTAAAACGTGTCTTGAATTTTTAGCCCATAGATGAGAGCAGTCAGATGAGTGACCTTCCAGTCAAAGTGACTCACACTGAAACAGGCAAAGTTCTTCTTGGACCAGAAGCACCTAAAGCAAGTCAGTTGGATGCTTGGCTGGAAATGAACCCTGGGTGAGTAGTTAGTATACCAAGTAGACTGTTTTTTCTATTTGCATTGATATTTTTCATGTTATACTGTCTTCCTTTTTTACCAATTCTATTCCTGTTTTAATTTATTGTATGTAAGCTGAGTAGGAGATGTATTGAACCTATTACCTCCTCCTTTTAACTGTCATTAAAAATCTTTCTGTCATTTTTGTACAGCTATGAAGTTGCTCCCAGATCAGACAGTGAAGATGAAAGTGGTTCTGAATATGAAGAGGAGGTATGTATCTTTAAAAAGAAATACTGTACAATACAGTAAAAAACAAGTGCTTACTTCATATTTAATTTTCCCTTCTTCATAATGAAGAGAGGGAAAGTGATAACAGATATGCGGATGCTTTAAGACTAATACAAACAGGAAAATTAATTGATTCTGTAGTTCTTGATTTATAGCAGTTGTTCTTTATATACACTGTAAATGCCTAACTGCTAATTGTGGTTAGGAAAAGTAAATATTTTACTCTGATTATTAATAGTAATGAACCAGACAATTAAGCAGGTTCCTATTTTAACATACAGCTCAGAAAACACTGCATTGTGGCATTGTGCTGAATGAAATTAACATCTTCAAGCTTTATGCATTGGTTTATGCAAGGTTTTATAGGCAATAAAATAACATGGTTACTACTTATGTATTATCTTTATTTAAGTGTTAGGGATTATGCCAGGGATTTATATTCAGACTTTTCAGGGTAGGCTTATTTGATTCAGTATTTGGATGGTGAATTAAAAACTGTTGTTAGAAAAATTCTAAAAAGAATCTTACAATTAACCCACACAAAGATGTCAGCCTTGGAGGGTCATCATATTACATACTATGCATAGTGAATAGTGATACTTGTGTAGCATTTTCAGATCAGTACTTTCTAAAGGAGAACAGAAGTGAGGAATAGAGAAGGCCCATGTGCAATCAACAGCCTGGTAGCAGAACTAGGTATAGTACTCAGATCTCCTACGTTTAGCAGTCTTTACATAACTATACCAAACAACCACTGAAACTGACTGGACTGTTGTAGGTGTGTAGGAGTAATTTCTGGTAATTCTACACATCTATTAATATTAAGGTAGGAGAGGAGGGCATGATACCTGTCATATTTTAGAATCTCACTTAGTGAGAATTTGTTTTCTATCGGCTGCAACTGTAGCCAAAGGACAAGTTATTTCAGAAAGAGTAAAAATAATTGGTTTTAAAAAATTAGGAAACTAGACACCCAAATCAGTAATACTTGGCGATTTTTTAAGCCTTATTCATTTATTATACATCTAGAATACATGATTATGACCTTATGATTCAGATGTCTGTCATAAGGCACTGACCAGTGAAAGCTACCAGTATGAGAATGCCAGTTGAAAGTATGACTGAGGAACACGTTACACTTCCCAGCACTTCTGTTCTTTTTCTGTATTCTGTAGGATGAGGAAGAAGAATCAAGCAAATTAGAAACAGATGAGAAGATACTCCTGGATCCTAACAGTGAGGAAGTTTCTGAGAAAGATGCAAAGCAAATCATTGAGTGAGTCTTCCTTAAGTGCTGTTTATTAGGAACTGTGATTTCTTCCAGTGGTATTTCACAAGAATAGCTTTCTCTAGGTTATTGATTTGCTGTGCTTCTCTGGTATAAATACCTGCAGGAGAAGGAACATGATCATTTAATTGTGTACTCTTCATAATATTGCACCCTTTGGAGTACTCACCTCACTCACAGCTGAGGACTTCAACTGTTTCTTTAGATGTATGTATGTAAGCCATGGTCAAAAAATACTTATTTGTAGGAATTCACTCGAGTTCTTTTTCTACTTTTCAGGACAGCCAAACAAGATGTGGATGATGAATATAGCATGCAATATAGTGCTAGAGGGTCTCAGTCCTACTACACTGTTGCTCATGCAATCACTGAAAGGGTGGAAAAGCAGTCTTCTCTTCTTATTAATGGCACATTAAAACATTATCAGGTGAGAAATCTTGAAAACAATAAAATACCTAAAACTTGGAATAATGCCCAACATTTCAGTGTGATATTTCAACGTTTGTTGAAAAATACAAAGGCTCTAATAGGTAAGAATTTGCAAGTATGGACAAAGCAATGACACCTGCCACAAATAATGTTACATACATACTGCTTGAATAATACATACATTCTACAGATAACTCTACCTTTTCTTGATTGCAGGTAAATAATATTTTGGTTTTGGTATCCTTCTCATTGACTTGTAATTTCGGTTCTTAGTATTTTAATTTGTGGTGGATTAGCAGTATTTTTCTTCTTTGATAGTTAAAGTTTTAGAATTTTGTTTTTTAATTAAGGTCCTAATATTTCGGGGCAGTGATAGATACAATTTGAAAATAAGAAAAATATTTTGCCGTGGATGTTGGTGTCACACGTTCTTCACAGACTTTTACTGGATTTAGTAACCAAGAACTTTGGCATTTTGATATAAGCTAGATTCACGTGTGATTGAAAATGTCTTTGATGTATGTTTTCTACACTTCTGCTATTGTATAACTTTCTAGTTAACTCCAGCAACCTGCATATTTTCTCTCGTCAGAACACTGTGTGTGTATATATATCTCTACATAAAGAATAATGATGCAGACAAGATAGCTTTCCTATATTCAATTCTGAAGTGACTTTGTTGGTGGTACATACAGTGACAGTACAAATTCCAGTCAGCTCTTGATGACTTAATAGTAAATGTGAATCGGTCTATATTTATGTAAAGCCAGTAAATTGGCAACATTATTTTGGATACTGTCTTGCAAGGAGAACAGACGATTACTTCCAGAGTATACTGTAGAGTTTTCCCTCTGAACTTTCTCAGGCCACCTAATTTCTTGCTCTCAGCATGCATGAGATATACCAAACCTCTGGGTATGAGAAGCAGAAACTTCACACATCCGTCAGTAATGTGATACACGCACGTGGTAATCTGTCTGACAAGAGAATAGCACTTTCTAGCGGTATTCTTTGGAGTGTGGAATTCTGTTATGTAGCCATTGCTAAGCTACAGAACTCTGGCTTCCTTCCAGCTCTGGAATTTTTTACACAAGGCATATTTGGACAAAGGTGGCCTGTTCTGATGTCGAGTTTTGGACAGCAGATTCTAAGTGCATATGTGCTACAAGAGCTGTAGCATACCAGTGATACAGTTGGTAGGTTTGAGGCTTTGTGTTTTGTGCTGAAGTTTGGTTTCAAAAGATTTTAATTGACACAGGCAAATGTCATGAAATACCCACAGAAAGTTTTAGCGTTTGAGAGTGTTGAGATTGAGGAACAAATACCTGCAATGGTGTTTATCGGCCTTACTGTGAGTGCCTCTGTTGCTTTGTGTGCAGTAGTAAAACTTTTCTACATGAAATCTAACTTCATTTTACATTGTTTTAAACAGGAATTATGATTTCCATGTAAAGATAGGCAGGGGTCCCCATGCATATAGTATTAGTAAAGGAAATCCAACTTGTAAATAGACAGGGACATCAGAACATTAGTTCCATAGTGCTGACTTATTATTAATTATTTCTTGGGTTTTAAATAACTGAAGCTCTTACTCTTCATTTCAGCTCCAGGGACTGGAATGGATGGTTTCTCTCTATAATAACAATCTGAATGGAATTTTAGCAGATGAAATGGGACTAGGAAAGACTATACAGACTATTGCTCTCATCACTTACCTGATGGAGCATAAGAGACTCAATGGCCCCTATCTCATCATTGTTCCCTTGTCGTAAGTAATGGATCTCATTCTGGCATTATTGGTGTAAGCATTGCAGATTGGTTTATTTGGAACACAACACACTGGCAAAACCAGGAGACTGGTAAAACACTTGATTCTATTGATTTTGGCAAACTGTATTGAATTTACTGTAATTCACTCTTAGGCCAAAAGAGGGGGATGTTTTTTCTTTCCTATTATATTCATGCACTTCATCTTTCAGCTTTTAACTCTGATATTAAAAATCTGTTGCTTAATTCTTTAAGCAGCCGATGCTTCATCTGATACCATAGATATATGTAGCCTTGATTGATATACACACTTTTGTCAGGTGTGCAGATTATGATTGTTTATTGTGCTGCCCCCCACCCCCTTTTTGCCTTTCCTTTGCTTCCTAGCAGCTTTCCAAAATGATGCTAGTTTTACAAATTTTTTAATGCATTTTCTTTTCTTCAAAGGTCACGTGTGGGTTTTAGTGATTAGAATAAAAATATCAATCCTTGTAGAACTCTTAGAGGATATTGAGGAGTTGTTTTCATATTTTTATGTGTAATTGAACTTGATTGATGTTGAGAGATTCCTATGTAATTTCATTAGCTAATTTGTCCACCACTTGTGCTGAGCATGCAAATTTGTTCTAGAATTAGGATAAATTTGATTTGTTGTCGTCTCATCATTTTTATTGAGGTCTCCTTTCTTCTGGCTGTGCTTTAGTAGTAACTGATTAACTAAAATAAATGTCACAGGTGTGCCTAACTGTATGAATACAAATTACAAGTTTGAAAAGAAACACCTGAGAGAAGATCTATAAAACAAAAATAAGTGGGAGTGTTATTAATGTCAATTTTCATGTGGGCGCAGTAAAAAAATCTAATTTCTTTTAAGTACTCTTGTTTTTTTCTAAAGAAGCGAGAGGCACTGAAAGTTCTTTCCTGTATACATTTTGAAAGCTGCCTGTTTCTGTCTTTTCTACATTGCTGCCGTCTGGTCCACTAAGAAGGGAAAAAAAAGCAAGCAGCTGAAAAACCTCAGGTTTACTTTTTGCTGTTGTCTCATGATGGCAATTAGCTTCACTCTAGCAAGTTTTTTGTTGGGATCAAACAGCAGAAACAGTGCAATAATGGATTCTCATAGCGGGACTATGAGTAGTTCTGCTCAAGTAGAGCACAGATTAAGTCCAATACCAGTTTCGTTGGGCTGTATTTGAAAAGCTGTAATGTCCATTTTTGGATGATAAGTCTAGTATAAAAGAACTTGCAAATCTATTTTTTGCCCAGAGATACTGTTCTTATTGTTACTATGTTCCAAAGTATAGAGGTGCATGTAAAACACTACTTTTACTGGTTTCTAAAAGGGTCCTGAATATAAGCTGAATGAATGTTTCACACATTTTTTCTGGTTACTTCCTCTGAGATCCTTGTATTTTATTACAGTATATAAAGTATGTTTTTAAAATATGTTGTTATTAATCGGTGTTGATTACATAAAATGTGTTGAAAAGTTGGCAACCACTTGGAAACATTTATAAATGTTTGATCTGCAAATGATGAAACGTTACTTTCTCTCTGTAATCTCTATGATAGGACTTTATCCAATTGGACATATGAATTTGACAAATGGGCTCCTTCTGTTGTGAAGATATCTTACAAGGTTTGATTTGCTTTTTGTATGACTGTAGAATTGCAGGAATGAGACCTAGAGACAGTTTTTTCCTCTGTCTCTGCACGCTTTTAACTATCTGCTCGTCGGGTTTTGTCATGTATATCAGGTACTAAGCAGTGCTAAGAAGGCTATAATAAACTGTGAAAGACTGTAGAAGTAAAACAACTGCAAATCCCTGTACAAAATGCAGAATAAAATTGTTAATTATCACATTTGCAAGGCTTCTGCTGAGAGTTATGAATGGTAACTACCTAACGTTTTATTCCTAGGTAAATACTTTCTAATGTGGCTACTGTAGTAGTGATATAGCCGAGCAGTTTGTAGGAAGAAAGCCAGACTACTGGCTTTGTATTTCCATGAGCTCCATAAGCAGCTTTACAGTCTAGCAGCAGTTTAGGGAAAGCACTCTGAGAAGGTTGATGAAGGAATTATGTCGATGTATTATTCACAGTATGGTAGGATTGCAGGTTCATCTGGTTGCTTATTGTCTGCTCATTCATAAAAATGTTTCTTAATCATCAAAGAATAACAATTCACATGTCTCTCTCTTCTAGGGTACACCTGCAATGCGCCGCTCACTTGTTCCTCAGCTTCGAAGTGGAAAATTTAACGTTCTTTTAACTACTTATGAGTACATAATAAAGGACAAACATATCCTTGCTAAGGTAATTTTAACTACTATCTCTCTGTATCAAGACCCAGACACCTTCAAGTGGTGCATACCACAAAACACAAATTTGTTTTATAGGGAAATTCTCAGTTGCTCTGTCCTTCAATAAAAGTTAACCCTTTCATTTGCATTCCTGTTCCTCAGTTTATGATTAAACTTCTCAGTCACAGTTCTCCCTTATGTAAACACTAGGATTTTCACAAATATGGCTAGGGGCCTAATTCCTTTGTGAAATTCTGTCATTCTGTCTGTACTGTATACCTGCCTGTCCTTGGAAGAACATGATTTTTTTCGCCTCTGCATAATACTCAGCCTCATCTGCATCAGTGACTTTTAACTTTTTCTGTTATTTCTATCCTGAAGCTCACTCTTACTAGGGCCCTTGCAGCTGTGTGGTCGCTTTTCCTCACGTAACTCAATAGTTACCTATATCATGAATTTGTTATCTAGACTAAAGAGTCTACACATTGCACTTCTTAGGGGCTCACTGTCTCTCTACAGGTAGGTATCAAATATGAATTTAAAAAAGCCTACTGTACTGTAAGGTTCTTTGATGTGCATACAAAGCAGAGGTATTTTGCTATAGAGAAACCTATATTGGACCTGCAGTAGTTTTACACTCCTGTAATTTTATAGGTCCTCCTGTTCATTTTCGCTTCATTTGTTGCATGCTGCATATTTACTGCATTTTACTTGTTTCTCCTCACTAATAAAAAGGCAGTGCATTTTCTTAGCATCATTCTGAATGCTTGAAAACAGGTTGAGACTGCATAATGTTCCTTTTGCTTTATTTTTTTGCACTCTTTCTGAAAGATAAGAAGGACAGCACCATGTCACCCCTCCTGTCCTGGGAAATGGAATTAGGTAGCACATGTAAAAGTACAAACCGAGACCTTCCTAGTCATGTGGTCAGTGTGGCACTTGTGTTGACTGTCCATGTTGTACAGGTGGTAAACAGAGAGCTTGAACAACAGCTCTCAACATCTGCTGTGATTGCATTTAAGATTTCATATTAAGAAATAGAAACTTTAGTTGAAAATGCAGTATATTAGGTGATTTTAATTATGCTGATTTCTTCTCAAGTAAAAACACAGCATTAGCTGAAACAAAATAAAGTTCAGAAGTGCTGTTGTTTATGAGCATACTTTATCTGAAAATACTTTTGTCTCCTGTCAAGGTTCTTGTTACAGACAGATGCATTTGCAGTTTATGTGGTTTCTTTCTTCCACTGTGAACCGTATTCTGGCCTTGAAGAACCAGTCATTCTAATCTCTTTCCCAGAAATGGAAGGAATCTGTGGTTAGCTGTTTCAGTTCCAGTCAGAATTCAACATCAGATTGAGCATACATAGGGTTTTTCTCTCTGTTTGTTCCTAGCAAGGACACTGATAGTTGCATAATGCTTGATTTGGCTTTCCTCAAGGTTGAGACTGATTGGTGTTTCAGTCTTTAAGGATTTTTGTTCTTTACTTCTTGGGAGGAACGTGGAAAAGTCTGGCCTGTTCTAACTTTGCAAACTTTTTCTTTCAGATTCGGTGGAAGTACATGATAGTAGATGAGGGCCATCGAATGAAGAACCATCACTGCAAGCTGACTCAGGTCTTGAATACTCACTACGTGGCCCCTCGGCGAATCCTGCTGACTGGGACTCCTTTGCAGAACAAATTGCCTGAACTTTGGGCTCTTCTCAATTTCCTTCTTCCAACCATTTTCAAGAGCTGCAGCACCTTTGAACAGTGGTTCAATGCTCCATTTGCCATGACTGGAGAAAGGGTACTGTGGCAGTGTTTTTTTAGAAAGATAGAAATAGACCACTTTGATGAAAACAGAAAAGAGCTTACACAGAAGAATTAGTGTTTGAACTTCACTGGTACTTAGGGATTTAACATAACTAAAAGACCCCTTTTGTATTATACCAGAATTTTAATGTTTAAAGTGTACTTTTTTACTCACTTTTGTTATAAGATGCAAATAATTATTGCACATTCTTGATTTTTCACGTGAGAGAACACATTACCTAATATATTTGAGCTGCCTTGTAGTGACTTTTATAAATTTCTCTAGGTGGACTTAAATGAGGAAGAAACTATTCTGATCATCCGTCGTCTCCATAAAGTGCTTCGGCCCTTCTTGCTGAGAAGACTGAAGAAGGAGGTTGAGTCTCAACTGCCAGAGAAGGTTTGTAATGAGAGGAGTTTGGGAGGCATTTAATATTCTTTCTGAGCATTAAGTAATGTCCCATTTTCAGATTTATTTTGCCGAAGGAGACTTCTTTAGTTGTTTGTTTATACCTCTCCAGAGAAGGCTGGCCTTTGAGGAAGCCTGATTACCTGAAGTGTCTGCACTCTCAGCATTCCTCACCAGCTTTAAATGTGTTTGTTGTAACCACTGTAAGATATTAGAGTGGTTTCAATTTATGAGTCAGCCCTACATTGAGGATAAAATTCTGTCTTGTACCATCCTCCTTGAACTGAGTTGAAGCTAGTTTACTGAAATTTCTGGAGGACTACTGCACTTTATAAAGCAGGCACAATTTGGTCCTGTATTATTATTCCAGGAGTATTATTATTCTATGAAGTGTCTTGTTGAAATTACACAATTATTTGTAACTAGTGGCATTTAAATTCAAAACATAAAATTATTTTCGGATTTCAAAAGTAATTGTTTTAATTTCTGGGTAACTCATTTTGTCCCACTTTATCCTCCTCTGTAATTCTGCATCCCTCTTCCCAGAATAACAGCAGCAACTAAAAATAAAATAAAATAAATTTTAAAACGTAAATTTGAAGGTATGATAAGGAAAAGTTTGTTTTAAGGTAAACTGGATTAAAACCATACCAAACTGAAATGTTTGTAAGGTGTGTTATGAGCTGATTGGCTAAATGAATGAAGAACTTTGTACAGATGCTTAGAGACAATACAAAGACGCATTTTGAAATTATTTTTCGTCTTTATAATCATGTCAGCACTACTATTGTTGAAATTTCTGTTCCTTCAAATGTCAAATTCTCTATACCCTCAGAATTTTGAGAATAAAAGATGCTTGTATTTGAATTTAATACTGAAATCAAGCCACTGTATTTGATTAATCCAATAATAGGCATTGGAGAGGGAAATTTTTCAAGTTGCATACACACTCAGAAGACCATGTTTCTTCTTGTTGCCATTATCTTGAAAAAAGGAATTTATCCAACCATGAGGATTGAACTAGGGGACTGAAGCCTGCTAATCATTTGCTCTTGCAAATATTGTTAAGAAGCCATTGAAGAAAGTCACTTCCCTTTAAGAAGTGACTGCTGTCTCTCTGAGAAGAAAATAACCTGATAATTTTCTTCCTGATTATTTATTAAGTATTAGGAATCTTACACGTTATCTTTTATTCACAGCTTGAAAGATTTCTAGCCACTAGCATGATTATGTTACAATTTTTATTTGACATAACTTACTAAAAACCAGTGGACTATAATCTGGACATTGGACAATAGAAAAAACTACATAAAATTACATAAAATTGGTGTGTGAAGTCTTTCTGTTCTTGTTTTTAAACGTAGTATACAGTTAAAAACTAAATGTAATTTTACAAAGCTGAACAAGTCAGGCTGAATATAGGGGTCATACAGTTGCACAGGTATTAATTCCCTGTGTTTTAGTGGATGTTGAGAAAATGGTGTATTTCTATGGCAGACTAGATAAACCTGCCAGTTAGACTCTGTGAGGGATTCGTAATTGCTAGACATACAGTGATGGTATTTTTATAATGCTTTACTTGATATTTTATAATACGTAACAGACAGAATAAATTCCACTGGTTATTAAACACAAGATACTTTTTTAGTTGCATGTTAAATATAAAATTAATTTCAAAATATTTTTTTAGATTTTAAAAATTACAGAGTAAGAAACAAAGTATGTTTGGTAATCCTGCAGCTGCATCCGTGGGATCCAGCTGTCTCACTGCAGGTCTGACTCTTGGACAGTCTTTGGAGATACTCATTTCTGTGCTTGCAGTTGAATTGCTGGTCATGGAAATTTTATGTGGCATTATGGTACAGATACAGGATTAGCAGGGGATTTTTTTTGTTTTGTTCTAGAATGACAAGAACCTGCAGGTAGATCCTACTAACATTATTATGTCAGCATGTTTATGGGTTTTGGGTTTTTTTTACACCAGGTGGAATATGTGATCAAATGTGATATGTCAGCTCTTCAAAAGATCCTGTACCGTCACATGCAAGCCAAGGGGATCCTTCTCACAGATGGTTCTGAAAAGGACAAGAAGGTACAAAAGACTAAAATATGAAGGAAATAATGTATTACGAGTATACACGTTAACAATATGTTTCCTGTTTATAAAATTAAAGTGTAGAATCTTACTGCAGGTATCTCTCATAGGAAAAGAAATTTCAGGCATGCTTTTCAGTTACAAGAGTGCAGCTATTCACAGGGAGAAGATATTGCTTGTATTCAGTGTAGTTGCAGTGCCTTTCTGCAAACAGGCACTATTTGAGAAAAAAATGCATTTCTTTGACTGAGTTTAATTCAATAATATGTCTGAATAATTGTGATTGTGGCATCTATGACTGCAGACAGTCATTTATCTTGTTTCTCAGAGCTATTAGTTGAGTCTCATTTCAGTCAGCAAGGACTGTATACTTGCATTCATCCTTACAAGATCTGTTGGTGACAAAATTCTTTAAGAGTGCAGTAAGATTCAAGTCATGTAGTCAGATTTAGACTTTGTATTAGTAAATGGTTATGCTGTCATGGGATTTGAGCCAGTCAATACAGAGTAAAGAAATTGGCATTCATCAGCTTTTCACATGATAACAAATTTGTATTAAATGTATTAAATGTGAAATACTTTGAACAGATTCTGCAGAATATCTAGAATTTGAGAGGTTCCGTTTGCACTCTCCTGTGTGTATATTGCTGATGCAGTGCACATAGAGTCTTTCCATAATCCTTTTTCATGTTGCATTGGTATAGTAGGTGATTTTTCTATTTAGTGTCTTACTTTACCTTTCTGGTTTTTTGCAATCAAATTGTTTTCTTTACTGGTGCTTAATTAAACTCCAGAAAAAGGGTTCTTTTTCACTGGATGTTGAAACGCATCTTCATAGTTGAAACACTTTTTAGACATTAATTCATGTTCCTCAGTTGTATTTTTAATGCAGTTTTGCAGTTTGATGTCTTTATATTCGTCCTAAAAATTTCATTTTGTATCACGAAATCTTTGTATCTTCTGCTTCATTTTCTGGTCTCTTCATGTGCTCAGACTCTTTTGTATATTTTGTTCTGCCTGTTTTTCTACCTGGCTTTGTGATTAACCAGTCAAAATTGCCTTTGCTGTCTTCTGAGCACTTCCCTTGCCTTCCTCTCTCCCCAAGGGGCTAAAATTTTTCTGTTCTTGCAACCCTCTCTTAAATATTTTTTTTCTTTAAATGTTAAATTGAGCTCTGTTATGAGTGCTACCTGTTGTCAGTAGAGGGAGGTGGTTGTAGACCGCTTGGCTTCAATGATCAACCAGCCATTGTGTTAGGAATAGATCTTGTCTTTCTGCAGCTCTAGCCTGGATCCAACTGCGAATAGACAATTCGCTCAGATAGAAGCTACAGGAAATTTTTTTATAACAAAGGTGAACTGTATTTTGGAGCACATTTGAGACGATCTTGGAAAGAACAAAACCAAGTTTGAAATACATGGAGTGCCCCCTTCAAATGGATAATCTCTAGTCTAGATGAAAGTTATTATTTCAGTGTACTTCCCAGAAAAGACTAGAATATTGATAGTATATATTATAATCAAGTACTGTATTTTCCCCTAGTTTAAACCTCAAAATTGTTAAATTGTTTGGCTGAGATGTTTAAAATAAATCTGAATTGGTCATATCGTAAGCTCGGACTATTGATGCCACTCTGATTACATTTTTTTAAAACGGCAAAAAACCAATGGCATTTGAAAGCAGCAAGTTTTTGGCAATGTTAATGTGATACAATTTTGTCAAACTTACTTTGACCAGCTGTGGTTAGATTTTAACCATACAGTTTGGTCTGGCACACCTGACTGTGATGAGTGTCCTGGTTCTACAAGATTAACTGTGGTGTATGTTTTGAGATTATGCTTCCTTAAATAATAAGATGACTCATGAATTTGCTGAGCTTTAATATTTTAGTATCTGTGGCCTGGTGTTTTACTCAGCCTGGAGTGAGAAACCCATATATTGAGTTAAGAGACTGAAGACGTTACTATGGAATTGAAAAGAATCCAGCTAGAATTACTTTCTTAGAGGGTTCAGACACTATGGAGTTTGTATGGTTTCATAATAAACAGTATAAATTATCAGGACAATAGATGCTCTGCTTCTTGCAAAAAATATTGCAGGTAGAAATGTAGCACACTTCATGGATTACTTCCAAATCTTCCTTCTTCATTATAGATTGTCTTATGACTTTATACAGCAAGACAACTGTACAATTGTTTTTTGATTTTTGTTGTTATGGTTTGGCCTGGCTTGTTTTTTTTCTTATTCATGAGCTTTGTTTTTTTTTGGTTTCCTTTTGGGTTTTTTTTATTAACGATATAGTAATTAGTGATATTCGGGTTTGGGATAAAAATATTTTCAAAGGGTATGTTCATAAGCCAAGAAATTAATCATTTGGTTTGCATTGTTTGTACCCATAGGGAAAAGGCGGAGCAAAAACTCTTATGAACACTATCATGCAATTGAGAAAGATATGCAATCACCCGTACATGTTTCAACACATTGAGGTAAGACTGATAGGTTTGATTTTGAGACTTGTTTTTATTCAGATGGCTAGGATAATAGAAAACTGCTGCTAAAACTTAGGTGTGTGAGACGGGATATCTCTGTCCAAATAATTTATACTGGAAAGGAGCAGATTAGAAAAAACATGTATTACAGTCAACAAGTGCCATCTTTTTATTGATAATACAAAGTCTGTTTCTAAAGTCTCTTTTAATTTTATGGAGCAGTGTCTCTAAAAAGTGAGGGGTTCTTTACTAATTTAAAACAATTCAGAGCAACTTGGTATTCACATACACTGAATTTATTATGTATAGACACTGGTTCAAAGTGTCATGTGTAGAAACTTTGAAGTTAGTGGACTGCTAATCTTCTACAGTGTCAACTAGAATTGTTCTCTTCCATCCATCCTGTTTTTTCAGCAAAAATGTACTATCTATATAGCATCTCTCAATAGGACCTAAGTATATGAATATATCTGAAAAGGTAGGAAGTGTCATAGATGTCTGGAATATAGCCAAATTTAGCCTACTGTGACTTATTATTACTATTATTATTATTATTGTTATAGTAGTAGTAGTAGTAGTTTTCACTCTTTATGATCTTGTATGCTGAGTAATTAAATTGAGTAAATTGCAGATGGATTTTCTACAGATTAGTATAAATTAATATTCTACTGTATTTGTAATCTGGTAAAATGTATGCTGCAGAAATCACTTGTGGAAATTATGAATTTCATATAATAGTACAGGAGAACATTAGGCAGAGCACTGTTGCCACAAGGTGGTTTCCAAGAGTATGAACATCACTGAACTCAAATCCCACAATACTCATATATTTAATTTGATTTCTATAAGAACACATAATTTTTGGTTGCTTTGTAGTTTGTAATATTTTTATTGCTTATAACTTTGCAGGAGTCCTTTGCTGAACATCTGGGCTACTCAAATGGTGTCATTAACGGGTAACTGTTTTTCCTGCTGTCCATAGTGTTGTATTGGGATTAATAACACCGTTATTTTTCTGGAAGCTACATGTTAGGAAACTCAAGCATTTTACACAGAGGCAGAGAAAGTGCAGGGCACATATGTAGAGCAAAACCTAATAGTACTGGAAGTGTTACGAGATATTTTCATGACTGTCCCATCTCTTTCAGGATGGCCGACAGAAAAGACTCGTGTCTTCCTCCCCTTATTTTGAAATAATACACCATCGGAAATTCATAAGGATGATTCTTTAAAATATCTGTTAGGATTTTCTTCCCTTTCTTGTTACTTTTGCCTTCTACTTTTCCTTCTTTATTCTCTCTTTTCCAAATTAAAGTAGCATTTCTTCCGTTATCTGAAATGAAAAAGATTTGCTTTATTTTTCTTGACACTCAGTGCAACTTTCAAGCTAATGGATGCTTTCTAAACAAAAAGTGTGTATCATCCACCCAATTTTCTTCCTGTTTAGGTGTTAATGATAATTTTCTTTTCCTGATCTAGTATACCGGATTGTTTGTGTCCTTAGCTAGTATATCAGAATACTGTCTCTTAAACAGTTTAGTCTTTGGCTGATTACAGATGCGTGCAAATCAGAAGGCTGTGTATCTTCTGGATTTTGTGCCATTGCTAATGATATTTTGAGAGTACAGACTCAAGGTTAGAGAAAAGTTGCATGAAGTTTATTTCTGTAAAGTGTATTACTGTGGTGCTGATTTAGACATTCTGTTTATTTCTGTTCATTTTCTGGGTTATGGGTTGAATTTCAGTGCTAGGAGTCAGTTTTGCAATTCATTGCATAGAAGACAAAAGAGGAGCTAATCAAAGCAGCTAAACACTGTTAATGTGGACAATAAACAATAAAAAATAGTTGAGTGGGGGCTGTTTCCAATAAATGCCTGCTTAATACAATTTAAAACTGCGGTTGCAATTGAAAGTTTTTCTTAAAGCCAGTTGAAAACAAAATAGCAGGTGAATGTATTACCTTATAGAATGCTTATCTAGCTGAGAAATAACGTTTGTATTAATAAATACTGAAAAAGAATGATTGAAAGTCAAAACATATTTGTAATTGAATAAAAATCAGGAAAACAGGACTTCACATGTGTTTATTTTAATCAACGTGTAATTTTAAAGAAAGACAAGTGCTCTTAGTCTGTTTAGATAAAGTGAATTAGTCTTTTTGTTATACTCCGACGTGATAATGACTACAGACTTTTAAATGTGGGCTTATTCTGGCATTTACTGTGCTGCTTCTCTCCAACAGAGCTGAACTTTATCGGGCCTCAGGGAAGTTTGAGCTACTCGATCGTATTCTACCAAAGTTACGAGCTACTAACCATCGTGTGCTTCTTTTCTGTCAAATGACATCACTCATGACCATTATGGAAGACTACTTCGCATTTCGAAATTTCCTTTACCTGCGTCTCGATGGTAAGTTAAATGGCAAAAAATGATAAATATTAAGATAAGAGATAGCATCCTTCATTAGTTTGGGCATGGGAACCCTGAGCTCGCTCCCCAGTGTTTTCATAACAGTGCTGTGTTGTGACTATATGAAAGTGAAAACCAGTTCAAAATACTATTTCATAATCCTGCAAGTGTTAAATTATGCCAGTAGACCCTTCAGTGGCAGTTTACTAGAATTTCCCATATTCTTCCAGACAGGTACGGAGAAAGACATACTTCTGCTTCGGTAGAAGTAATTTTTTCTGTTTCTTTCAGTGTTTTCATTTATCTGTTTAACCTGCAGACCATTTGGTCAATGGATTATTTTTATAAACACTCAGGTCTGTTCTAGGAATGCAGATTATGTATGCATTTGCTGCTTAGAGGCTCGTCTCTTTTTCACACAGGGTTTAAAATCCAGAGCCTCAATCAATCATTACTATCTAAGTTGCCTGAAAATATTCTCATGACAAGAGATGATAATGCCAGTATTAAGCCTATATTCCAATGGAATAAATTCATTTTTATCTGTTTAAAATTCAACTGCTGTCCTTCACAGGGTAGCTGGATTTCAGTGTGATACCTGAATTTCACAGGAAGATCAAAGCCTCAATTTCTTCATGTGTAGATATGTTTTATTTACTTCAAATGAAAAGATGGTTTAGAAACATTTTAGATACTAATATCTTTATTCTATTCAGTATCTCTGTTGAGTGTTCAATATCTTTGTGGATAATCTGGATGAGGGGATTGAATGTACCCTCATTATGTTCACAGATGACACCAAGCTGGGTGGGAGTGTTGTGCTGGAGGCCAAGAAGGCTCTGCAAAGGAAACTGGACAGTCTGGATCACGGGCTGAGACCAGTGGTGTGAGGCTCAGCAAGGCCAGTGCTGGGTGCACTGGCCCAGGGCGTGTCCAGGTAGCCAAGAAGGCCAATGGCATCCTGGCCTGTTCCAGCACTAGTGTGGCCAGCAGGAGCAGGGCAGGGATTGTCCCCCTGTACCGATTGAGTACCCGCTGGAGAGGCCATACCACCAGTTCTGTGTCCATTTCTGGGTCCCTCACTCCAAGAAGGACATTGAGGTGCTGGAGCATGTCCAGAGAAGGGCAGTGGAGCTGGGTCTGGAGCTCAGGTCCCAGTAGGAGTAGCTGAGGGAGCTGGGATTGTTTAGCCTGGAGAAGAGGAGGCTCAGAGGAGACCTCATCACTCTCTACAACTCCCTGACAGGAGGGTATAGCCAGGGGAGGGTTGGGCTCTTTTCCCAGGCAACCAGTGACAGGCAAGAGGACACAGTCCTAAGCTGCATCAGGGGAGGTTCAGGTTAAACTTTAGGAGGCATTTCTTCACAGAAGGGGTGATTTGACATTGGAATGGCCTGCCCAGGAACCTGGAGAACTCACCGTCCCTGGAGGTGTTTAAGGAAAGATTGGATGTAGCGCTAAATGCTGGGTTCAAGTTGGCAGCGTGGTATTTGATCAGAGCTTGGACTCGGTATCTCAGAGGCCTTTTCCAATCCATTTGATTCTTTAATTGATTCCCGTAATTGTATGAAAGAAAACTAAAAAATAGCATATCCCACCTGAATTTTAAACCTGTTTGAAGAAGTTTCAATTTTGGTCTTCTTCCATGTTGATGATCTTTGCCTCATACTGAGCTTCTTAAACAGTGACCATTTTTACTTAATATTTTATCTCACACATTATAGTACTACATAGGACCAGCAGCATTTATCAAAATACTTTTTTAGTAGAAAAGCAATGATTTAAGATAAATATAAGTGAGACTTGAAGTTTCCTCTGAATATTTTTAACAGTATTTTAAACTGACTTTTAGCTTCATTCTCTATTCAGAAGAGAAAGTAGTACCAAGATGTATTCTCATCCTTTACAAATACTAATGTACATGAAGTTGAACCAGTATTATCCTTGAATGTAAAATTAGGTTATGAAATAGATACACAAATGAGCTACATCACTGTGCCATAGAATGCCAAAAACATCTGAAGAGCATATTAGCATGCTAACAAAGCCCTCTTCACACCTCTGGCCTGCAGGTGTTTTAATACTTCTGTTCAATAAAGATAAATTAGATTGCATTTTAAATGTTTTAGATTACTTTACATCGTGTATTTTTAAATTAATTCTTTTTCATGCCAGAATGTTTATGGCAAGACAGTGGTTTATGGTAAATACACCTCATTGCCTTTTTCAGGTAGTTTATTAAATTAGATAAACCCTTTTTTCTTCTTTTCCAGTTTCATAATGATAGATATCTTCCATACTGAGATTCAGTCTATCCAGATTCTGTCCAGCTGTCTTCATACATGAGGTGTTTCATCCCCAGTTCATGTGCTTATTATGGGGTTCATTGTGTCAGCAGTGGACCAGTAGTTTGACTGTGTGATTGTGGGGGCTACAGGTGGGATGGAGTTAATTTTTCTCCTAGTGGCCCATGTAATACTGTGCTTTGTATCTGTGGTTCAGCAGGGTTTATAGCACCACCAGTGACATCACCCCAGTGTTTGACTATTGCTGAACAGCACTTGCAGTGTCAGGGCTTTCTCCCCAAATACCCCTCACCCCCGAGGTGATTAGGCTGCACTGGACTGGGACCCAGATGAGACAGCTGACCCAGGTTGACCAAAGGGTTGTGAACAGCAATAAATCCTGAGGATGCACGGACATTGCTTGTTATGGCATTTGTCCAATTAGTCATTACAGGTACTGAGGTCCTGCTTCCCAGGAAGCAGCTGGACATCTGGTTGCTGCTGAGAACTGTCAATAAATTCCTCTTCTCGTCCTTGCATACATACCTTTCACTTTCATTAAGCTGCCTTTATCTCAGCACAGAAACTTTTCTGTCTTATTTCCTCCCCATATACTGCTGAGTTTGGGGAGGCAGGGGGTTTTATCTGGAAGCCAGGTGGGAAACAACCAACCATAGTAATAAAAAAAAAATAGTAATTTCATCTTCTATAGATAAATCACTCTTAAGATGGGACATTTTAAGAATTTGCAGTCTTTTGGTATTAACTATGACTCCAAAGGCATATAGTGACATTTTGATAAATCTCTATGTAAGTGGCTTTTAAAAATATTTAATGCTGCTGTAGCCAGAAGGCATTAATCAAAACTAGGGCTCTCTTCTGTTTGTATATAGTAGCTTCAATTGAAATTTATGTGAGTTATAAAAAGTTATAACAATGTTAGCCAAAATTTTAAGATCTATTTTGGAAATGTCAAAACAAATGCATTTAAAGAGACCTTTAGAAGTCCATGTCAAAGGTGTGGTAGGCAGTTGACCTAAACATTCAGGGCCAGCGTTAGGGAAAATGTGGCAAAGATGTCAAAAAGCCATGTGCTGAAATAACCCTTTCATATGTACATTTTGCAACAGACATTTTTATGTATATTATTTCAGTTCACATCTTTATTATATGATTTTTTTTTCAGGCACAACAAAATCAGAGGATCGAGCTGCTCTTTTGAAGAAGTTCAATGAACCTGGATCACAATACTTTATCTTCTTGCTGAGTACAAGGGCTGGAGGACTAGGCTTAAATCTCCAGGCTGCTGACACCGTTATAATCTTTGATAGTGACTGGAATCCTCATCAGGTTATTTTTATTTTCTTATCTTCATGAAATGTGTAAAGAATCCCTGATATTTTTTGAGTTGCTTATTTAAATAAATGATATAGCCTGGGATTAAAGGAAAAAATACAAGTAAGAGATAAAATGCGGCTTTGAGAGGAATTAGTGAGACAAACTGCCACAATAAGGAAATGTTTTGGTTTGAATTGGTGGACTAATTCTGTGCCTGCATATGTATTTTATCTGAGTCTTGGGGTGTCCTCAGTGCTAGGAGCATATAAACATGCTTCATTTGTATAACTGGACTCATTCTTTAACCCTTAGGATATAATAACCAGCTCCCTAGCCTTTGTTAGGTAGTTTGCAGTACTTTAGTTAAGGCTACGCTGAATGCTACCTCTATCACAAAATTAGGTGACCATGTGACTGAGTAGACTCTGCGTGAGTCACTGAACTTACTCTGTGGTGGTTAGTAGTACATACAGATTATCAGAAAGAGAGGATATCACACCACTTGCACTTATTTTAAAAAAGTCAGAAGCAGTAATGAATTACGCCTTTGCCACTTTGTTTTTCTTATTTGTAAGAAAGTAAGGTCAGTATCTATGGAAGTACATAGTTATGCATGTGTTTTCAGCTACTGTGCAAATGTATGCAAATCACATCGTACTCAATGGCCACATGTAAAAGTAAGGGAGGCAAGACTAAGAAGAGTTTTAATATCTGTGTTCACTCTCTCTGTTAAATTACTCTCTGTGTTCTTTGCCTAACAGGACTTGCAGGCCCAGGATAGAGCTCACCGAATTGGTCAGCAGAATGAAGTCAGAGTCCTGCGACTGTGCACCGTGAACAGTGTGGAAGAGAAGATACTTGCTGCAGCAAAGTATAAGCTGAATGTAGATCAAAAAGTTATTCAGGCAGGAATGTTTGATCAGAAATCTTCAAGCCATGAAAGGAGAGCATTCCTACAAGCTATATTGGAGCATGAAGAAGAAAATGAGGTAAGGTAGTTAGAAATAACTACTAAAAGAGAGTTTTGGGAAGTATTGACTCTTCTATTATTCATCATTTATCAATATTTTCATAACTCTTGAAATTAAAAATTTCATTATAATTTCTTACTGTCCAGTCAGAGAAATAACCTATCTTTTATCTTTTTTTATGGTCACAGTAATAGGTTGTAACCTGTTATGGTTATGGTTAAATCTTAGTGTAGGATTAGGCTTTGTAATTTAAATCCCATTTTACCCTTCATAATTTTGGCAAATAATTGCAATCAAACAAAGAATTTTTCCAGAACAGATTATAAACTATTTCCTAACTCCAATATGTATGTTCAGCTAGGCAATTTGATTTTTTGGCATGCTGGGTAGTTTGTACTACCTAGCTTCAGTTTTGAAGGACTCTGCTTACTGTGCTTCATTTGGAACCTCTTTAAGAGTTAAGATATGCCTTGATGTGCCTTGGGCTTAGGACAAGCCATAAAGTAACTGTTTTTTCTGGTTCGTGTTGAACCTGGACTTCTCATCACTACTTCCTCTTTGAGAAATAATTAGCTGCTTGAAAAGAGCTGTCAGGTCTTTTCTTGTAGTAATGGGAAGTGAGGTTAGAGAGTCACTGAGTGTATGTCCCTCTCTTTTCATTATGTTCTTTTATGGAACTGCGAGTGTGGAATGATGAACCTGTTCTTTCGTCTGTCACTGCAGACTCCTCTTAATTTGAACAAAATTCAGTATTTGGACAAAAGCTGTATTTGGGAGCAATTAAATAAATGTATCAGTTATACTGATGACACACAGAGAAATTTTCGATAAGCTCTGACTTTTTCCCACCTTGAAAATACCCTGTACTGGTTAAAGACAGAGCTTTTGGGACCAATCTTGCCTCTGAGTGGGGCTTGTATGTCTGAATATGGTGCACACTGATAGAAGATTCTATAGCCTGTGTTTCACTGGCATTCTTCATTGCATGGAGTAAAGTTTCAAAGATGGAGGAATTTACTTCTTCAGTCATTAATCCTTTTGTACAAACTCTGCATTGTGCACTTAGAAAAGCATGGTTAAGATGAAATTTTGTATTGTTTTAGTATTTTTCATAGAAATTAGGGTGGCAAACATTTTTATTAGAAATTTGGTGATGCACATATATACCATTTTTGATTAAGTAAACCTGTAGTTCTAAAGCAGACCACACTTCCTATATGAGTAGATAGATTAACTTGAAATCAGCAGACACTTTCAGTAATCCTGTAAGTTTTTTTAAAAAGTAGGAGTGTATTTGTTTCTGAAGCATTTATCTGTCAGTGTTTCAGGAGTCAGGGCTGCAGCTAAGGCTTATGTGACATGCCTTATTTAGTAGACAACTTGAAAACAATTTGTTTCTTGTGTGTTGTTGAAATATACTTGATCTGCCATGCTGAAGCAAGCAGATTTAAATAAGGTTTATTCTCCATAGCCCAGCATCAGTCTTTAAAGCATTGATGTTGCCATCTGACTCCTAGCTGAAGCTTTCAAGTAATACATCTTTGTAAACAGAGACTATGTAAAACTCTGCCCAAACACTCAACCTCTGGAGGACTAAGAGGAATTGAATTTGCATCATCCTGCACTGGTCAGCCATTTCTCTTTCATTGCAGTAGCACTGAGTATTAAACGGGAGATTGAATCTCTTAATTAAAAGTTAAATTATCAACAGTACTGACACAGCTTTGACTGCAAATGTGGACTGGCACATCTAACGAAGATACTGTTTACTGATCATCTAGTTAAATATTCTCATGCTAAGCATGCTTTAAACTCTTCACACTGGTATGTAGAGTACTATGTTCTGTTCATAGTTTTTTAGTAGGTTTTTTTTTTTAGTTCAGCATCAAGGCTCCCCTTATTTCTCTTTCTTTCTTCTTTTTTTGATCTTTCTTTTCATTTAGCAGTACTAGATAAAGCAGAGAGGTAATTTCTGTGTATTTAGAAAGATTCATGAGAATTATAGCAAGATATGACAAGTGATTAGAAGTTACTTGTTCATAGTGTAATTTTTTCTTGGCACTCGAGTTTTATATACAATTTTTTCTTCTGCCAAGCTGCCTGTTTGGCAGCAGGGTTATTCAGCCTAACTGCTGATAATGTAGCTGTAATGTTACAACTTCTACTGTGAGATCACTTCTTTGTTTCAGGACAAAAGTTACTCTGAGATAATAAGGAAGTATGTGGACCCTTCCTGATGGTCACGTTTACAAAATAATCTTTTTTTTCTCTGTCTGTGTAACCGTGTGACTTCCTTTTCATGAACAGTGAAGGAGCAGTGACTCAAAGTGAGAAGAACTAGCTCTCTTAATCACTTTCCCAGTTGCCCACTTTATGTTGAAACTTATATGTTCATTGAGTTACAAAGGTGTTCCTTTAGAATTGCATTAATGAGAGGTGTTTCGGGTCTTTTTCTGCAGTGTAGAAATCCAGACACTGGGGGGAAGATGCGTGGATATATAAATGACTTCTTATTTCTGAAAAAAGCTACAAGATATTAGCTTTTTGGATGCTACATGCAGTATTCTATAGTCCCATTAAAAAAAATGGGTTCAAAACATGAGTTTTTAAGAAGAATTATAGGTCTGTAGCATAGTGTAGCATACGTTCAGAGTGAGCTGTTGTCTGTGGTTTCAGAATAATTCAGAGAGGAAGACTGAACATTTTGGGCTGTAATGGTTTCAGCTTTAACACCTTCAATTGAACACTACAGTTCTAAATTGTTTTTCTAGTGTCTGTTTCTGTTTTTATGAAATAATCCATTTTGTCTGCAATAAAAACTTCACATCTCAATTTGTAAGCTGAAAATGGTCAAGAGAAAGTGATTCAGCAGGGTTATTTTTCAGGCTAAAAACATGCTTCATTCTTGTAATTTTTTTTCATTTAATCGGAAATTTTTCAGTCTCCTTGCTTTGATGGGAAAAACCTCAAACCTCTAGAATGGTATTTCTGAAGTACTGTAGAGTAGCAGAACGGAAATACATGCATTTTAACCAAAGCACTAACTGTGCTTCTGACCCAGGAAAACCACAACCCAAAATTTCCTGATTTTGTATTTGGTCATTTCCTTATTCTCAAATTTTGAAGGTAGTAATAAGTCTCATTTGTCATTCTCACTGTGTTATTTTGGTGCTTCTGAATAGCTGAACACTTTAAAAGGTTTAGTTTCAGTTTAAGTGCTTCACACGTGTTGTCAGTGAAAGAGGGTCAGTGGAGCTCTGAACTGATGGAGGCTTTTACTTCGAGGTGCATGTGAGTACTTCCTAATAATTTTATGCATCTTTCTAACCAGGAGGAAGATGAAGTTCCTGATGATGAGACTCTGAATCAGATGATTGCTCGACGTGAGGAGGAATTTGATCTCTTTATGGTAAGGATGGTGTAATCATAAAAATATCATCTTCTCTAGTGTTTTTAATAAAGGCCCTAACCTTTTTGTCACTCAACTTTGTCAAAACTTTACTGGAGAAGTAGATTTTATTTACCTGCATTGTTCATCTGATGAAAGAAGTTTAGTCTGCTTAAATATAGAGTTACTCAAATGACAGAAGGACTTCAGAGATGCTTGCTGTTAGTCGAGCAGTGGTAATCTGAAGGAAGGGTTTGGCACAACCTGAGACATTTATAGTGCAGAAATATTGGTCACAGTTTGGCTTCCTAATTCTACAGCATACTTTTACTGTTCAGCATCTCTTCTTACTTTTGGACTTTGATATTGGCAAGGACAACTATAGGAACTTAACAAGGTCGTAAATTAGTAGACTAACAATGCTGTTTCTTGGTGAGTTAACTGGGGTATTGTTGATGGTTTTGTCAAGAATCCAGTTAGTTGCATCTCTGCTGCTACAACTGTTGAACAGTTACCAAATAGAGCTAGTGGTTCTACTGTGAGCCAGGCCTTTTTATTACCTCCCTTTTTGTTTATGCTACTGCAGCACTGATGGAATAATTTCTGAAATGCCTTTTTAGGCATGGCTCTTGCCTTTTAGTGTTTGTACAGTTTGAGGATTTTTAGAGGACCTCTGGGCTTCGCTGACACCAGTAGAGGGAAATACTTAAGTACTGAAGGTAAAGCACCATGCCCTCTAATTGTACAGAGGCTGTTTTCTTCTGCAGTATAGAACAAGATGGACATTTCTATGTACATAAATGGAAGTGTATCTAGTGGTATCCACAGAAACAATTGTTAGTAGGACCAACACAAAACCTGTGTACCTAGTACAGGTTTTTAGTTCTTTATTGTCTTCTGCTCAGGAATTCATCTGTAAAAATTTACTGTTACACGAGCATGCGGGGCCCTCTACATAAATTACAACTGTTCACATGCACTGTTGGAAAAGGCCTTATTCCCCCGTATGATTGTTATCATTGCTGACTTGCCAGTTTAGTGTTCTTGTGCTAAGCTTTATTAAAAATTACCTCAGAACTGAAATCACTAAAGCCAGGTTGCAGAGAAAAGGATGCTTACAGACACCTATCTTTTTAAACTTTCCAACAGTGATTTGCGTGTAAGGAGATTTGCATGACACAAGCCAAGGGGCGGCCATTTGATCCAAAACTCAGAAAGAAAGAATTTCGTCTGAATTATTGGCTGAACATAGCCTGAGTTCTGTGAAAGTGGATTTGCTGCTAGAAAAGAGCTTCTGGTTTCTCCTTCAGACCCAGAAGGAAAGATCTAATCCATGATTGAAAGTAGTTGATCAAGTCTGTTTGCTTCAACTTCTAGTATTAAATTTGAAGGCTATTTAATGTAAAACAGTTGAGGAGCCTAGAGTAAAGACAGTATTCACAGAATCATAGAATATGCTGAGCTGGAAGGGACCCACAAGCGTCGGTTCCAATTCCTGGCTCTGCACAGAACACTCCAAGAATCACACCACATGCCTGAGGGCACTGTCCAAACATTTCTTGAACTCTGTCAGTTTTGTCCTGTGTCAGTTTCTCTGGGGAGCCTGTTCCAGTGCCCAAACACCCTCTGTGTGAAGAACCTTTTCCTCATATCCAGCCTAAACCTCCCCTGATGCAAATTCAAGCCATTCCCTCAGGTTCTGTCACTGTCACCATAGAGAAGAGATCAGTGCCTGCCACTCCTTTTCCTCATAGAAGAGCTTGACTGCAGTGGGGTCTGCTCTCAGTCTTCTCCAGACTGAACAGACCAAGTGACCTCAGCCTCTCCTCATACAGCTTCCCCTCAAGGCCCTTCAGCATCCTCATTGCTCTCCTCTGGACCCTCTGTAGCCTTACCTTAGGCTATTGTGGCAGCCAGAACTGTCCCCAGCACTCGAGGTGAGGCTGCCTCAGAGCAGAGCAGAGCAGGACAACCCTTAGCTGGCTGGTGATGCTGTGCCTGGTGTCCCCCAGGACACAGGTGGCCCTTGTGGCTGCCAGGGCACTGCCAAGGCAGTCAGCATGCTGACTCATTGGAACTTGCCATCAGCCAGGGGCCCCCAGGTCCCTTTCTGTGGCACTGCTTTCCAGTGTCTCCATCACCAGTCTGCTGTACTTCCAGGGCTCCTCCATCCCAGAAGCAGAATTTGGCTCTTGTGCTTTTTGAACTTCATATGGTTAGTAATTTCCTAGTCCTCTCATTTGTCAGAGTCTCTCTGCAGTAACTCCCTGCTTTTGAGGGTGTTACCCTTACAGTTTTTTCCTGTCTATGAACTTGCTTAGTATCCCTTCACATCCTGCATTCAAGTAATAATTCATGAAGCTATGTGGGCTGAATTTATGTTTTTCATATTGATTTATGTGGAAGTTTTTAAGGAAAACTAAGGAGTTGGTAGTAAAAGTTTTAAGAGGCAAAACTACATTCTTTAAATGCCAGGGGTTTGAAAATAGTAAGACAGAAAGATTGTAGTTGAATATTAATGGCTAAGAAACAATTTAAATGGCCAATATAAAAATGGGTTTTAATTTTTCTAAACTGTTTCTTTTTAAAATAAAAATCTGAAAAGGAAGTTTGGCAGTCAGAGCTGTTTGGTTTTTTTATCAGTATTTCAAGTCTTGCATAGTCACATGAAGAGCAAAAGGTAGTCTGTGTTCTCCTTACTGTAGTGATACCTGTGCCATCTCATTCCCTTTTAAAGTTGTGCATATGTAATCAGAATTCAGGAGTCTGCAATACCCAACAAAAAAAAGTGTTTGGGTTTGTTCATTTAATTAGTCCTAGGTGTGTAAAAGTATGTATTTTACTAATTTGAAGTGAGCAGTTCCAAAACAATCTACAAGAGAGATCATTTCCATGAGCACCTCTTCTGTAGTCACTTTGCAGGTTAGAAGTGTTGTTTGACACAGTACCTGAAATGTAGCTGTAGAGTAAATAAACTGTTCAGAAAGAAGTTACAGGTGTACTTTGTTCCTGTGACTTTTAGAGGCTTCACAGTGTAAACAAATTCAGAAAATACTCAAAGAAAAATCAGTGGGTTTTTGTGATCTGTACAACTCTTGTCATTTCATAAGAATGCTTCAATAAGTTACTTTTCTGGAAAAGAAATAGTTCCTTTTAGTGTTAAAATTGATTAAATAAAGTAAAGAAAACATTAAAAAACACTGATTTTTTGGATCTAAAAAATGCCTTTCAAGTGGAAGGCCAAATGGGTACCAAAACTCCAGTTGTGCTAATACAGTTAGTCTTCTTGAAGCAAAAAAATGGCAAGCTAGTAGAACTGGGTGTGTAAATTACTTTTTTTACACCGAGTGGCTTGGATGTTTTTTTCAAGGACTCTCGCAGTTATAATTTGGAAGGTTTTACACTGAGTGGTTTTGATGTTTTTTCCAAGGACTCTTTTAGTTAAAATTTGGAAAGTTTAAGAAAACCATTCACAATTCATGGGACAGCAGTGCTCCATGGTTTTTCTAAACTGGAAATTTTAGGCCTTGAGTATGTCTACATTCAAGCTCTTTGCTTAGGTTTAACTATTGGTAGCATATTAGGCCTTATTGAGGACAGTGAACATATAATTATTTTATTAGTCATATAAAAATAACGTAGATATCTTTTGGAAGTACAGATTTTTGAAAGATACGGGAAGACAGAACCAGAAGTTTCCCAGATGTAAATATGGTTTGAGTAGTATCCTCAGAAAAAAAGAGTCAGTTTGTATCTCTGGTATCTCAGATTATCTGAGATTGTCTTTAATTTTCCTTCCCACGTGCTTTTTATCAGAAAACAGCTTTTATAATACACTATCTTACTGTTCAGTCTTTGTGTTAGACAAAGAAGCATGATCATTGGGGAAAAAATGGGAAGTTTCAGCATTGACTTCATGTTCTTAATGTCATTAAAATATGATGTCTGTTGACTTCACTCAAGTTCTCTGCTAAACAATAGAAATAGAGAAGTCTTTTCATTTATCCCATTTGAGCTGTCTCTTGATGCAGCTTTCTGGTTGTCATGTTTGCAGTAAACCAAGCCACATGTTTGGCTTGAATGACACACTTTTTGAAATTAATTCAAATTGAATAAGATTTTCTTTAAAAGATGAAATATAGAAGTCTGCACAGCCCTTCACTGTTGTCTGAAGTAATAGGGAACAGGGATAACACCCATATATTTATAGTTACTTCAGGAATGTAGTTGGACGTGTAGACCAAAGGCACACATATTGTGTTCTATTTTTCACTGAGTTTAGAAATCAGATACCGCACAAGGCAAGATGGTGAAAGCAGATTGCAAGATGCACTTCCTGAGGTAGTATTTTAGAAATGCACATGTTTGAAAAGTGCCAAGATGAGAGGAGATTCAGCATATTCAATGATGCCATCACCAAGTCTCAGTTTTTAAATTTGTCTGAGTTTGAGCTGTCCCTCTGGAGAGGGATACCTCTGGATTCATGCATGTCTCTGTTTTGGCTAAGGTTGTAAAAGGATAATATGTCTAGTTGGCATCATGTGTTAAGTGCAGCATCATGTACACAAGGGAGACATTTGCACATAATTGAGAACGGTTTTATGAAGGTTTAGTGGTCAAAGCAGTAGTTCCTTATGATTCTACAGCCAGTTCTGATGCACGTCTATTTGCATATTTTTTTCAAATACAAAATTGAAATGTTGGTGGCCATCTGGTTGTTTTCTCTGCTTAGCAGCTGATTACTGAGTGTTAAGTACTGTATGACTCTTCAAAAGGCCTATTTGAATTGCCTATTCATATTTGATTTTGAGTACTTAAGACAATGCAGATGCAATTCATGCGGCCTAGTCAATAGAGGTAGATGCTTCCGGGAGGATTATAAAACACCTCACTGATGAAGGTACAGTGATGATAGGATGTATGGATGATAGGAATGTATCCTCTGTATCCGTGTCTGAGTTATTATTCACCACACCTGAAGTGAATGATTATTTAAATTTCAGCTGAAAGTCTTAACATTGCCTTCTAATGTTCTAAACACTTCACCTAAGCTATCCAATATTTTTGTGTTTTGATTTTTGTCTGGTACAGCAGTAAGATCGGAAAAAAAATCAGGGGTTCAAGCATGTTGGCTACGTGTAACAAGATTGTCTGAATTTATTAATTCTCCTTTGATTCTTTCTGATATTCAGGGTAACAAAACTAGTGTATTTTTAGTTACTCTTTTCAGTTACGTAGTAGTAGAAGATTATGGGGACAACAGTGTTCTTGTGTCACCTGGCTGTGTGTTGTCTTAGTTCCTTCAGTGAAAGCTAGTTATGAAGTAGTGAATATGACTGGAAATGAACAATTGAGCGTAGCATTTTCTTTTTACAGCAGCATTTTAGAAGTATTTAGGAATATTTTCAACAGGAGATACCTGGGAAGGATTTTGTTTAAAGTTTCAAGTGTTATTAGAGAGGTGGGCATTGACATGGTTCACTTAATAATTGCTTTTAAAACTTTTTTAACCTTTTGCCAATTGCTGTTGCAGCGCATGGACATGGATCGTCGCAGGGAAGATGCCAGAAACCCTAAACGTAAACCTCGCTTGATGGAGGAGGATGAATTACCATCCTGGATTATTAAGGATGATGCTGAAGTTGAAAGGCTTACATGTGAGGAAGAAGAAGAGAAAATATTTGGAAGAGGATCCCGTCAGCGCAGGGATGTGGACTACAGTGATGCTCTCACGGAGAAGCAGTGGCTGCGGGTAGGTTGTTGGTTGGTTGGCTGTTTTTTACACTTGAAATTTACTCATTTGTAGTGGGTGTTTCATTTCATTTTGGAGACTGCACCAGGGATAGCACAATTTTAGGCCTAAAATATCTCATTATCCAGCTTCTGCTGCTATGTTGAAAATATAAATAAATTTTGAACTGCACTGCATAAACTTAAATCGGTGTTACTAAATGCTGAGTCAGGACTATGATAGCGTTTATTGGAACTGTTCTTATTTCCATGGGTCTTATATCTTCAGGTGCTTTTGTTAAGTGTCGTCTTTCAGATACATGAATTATTCCAATATTCATGAAAACTGTAAGTCAGTGTATATTAAAACTTTCTGTGCCAAGCTTATTATATTTTTAAATACCTCTATTTAATCCTTTTAAGAATTCAGAATTTTTCACTTAAATTTTCTTTCTCTCAGGCTATTTAATTTCCAAGTCTCGAGCATTTATTGGCTCCACTGAGATCAATATATTTGATAAATGATTTGAGAATTTAAGACCCGAAAGCGAAGATTCTAGACTTTAACACCAAATCTGAGATTTGTCTCTTGCTGTTCTTTAAAATCTACATTCAGTGAATAATAATGCATGTGTCTTTTCAGTGTGGTAGCAAGAGCATGGTAAAGAGGTGAGGAATGATTGTTGGAAAGGTTTTTCAGAAATTTGGTGATAGTATGATTTCCAAAACTTATAAATAAAGTATTCTAAGTGCAAAACTAATTTACATGGTTTGACAGAGTAAGTTTTGTTGTAGAATGATTGCAGACAATAGCAACAAGAATATATACAATGTAGACTTTGTGTATCATTTGATAAAGATAGGTAAAAATCTTACCTACTTTAAAATGGGATGTCTGGGAGACTGCATTGTGCAATACTGTTCTAAGAGCTAATCCAGACCTGTTGCTTAGAGGATAAAAGGCCTGAATTATTCACCAGCTGTAAATTTAAGCAAGCCTATGAAACTACAGAGGTTTGATACCTTGCATCTGCAAGTAGTCAGTGGAGAAGAAAGATCTAGAAACATAACTCCTGTTTGGATTTTTGAAGATCTGCCTTATCCTACACTGGAAGTGCTTGCAGTATAGTGTACGTCTACTCAGGGTCAGTTTCAGTTACTTCTTTTAATGATGGAACACACTCGCTGTGGCAGCATAGAAGTTAGCTTTGGCTTTTGTGTTTTGTGACTTGAGTTGGCTGTAATAGTTGTTTTGAGTGCTTTATTGTCAAAAACGGGAGGCCAGAAAGAAATCATCTGATCCCTGTCATAGTGTAGGCAGAATCATCCAGTCCTGTGTCATTTACAATAGAAGTTCAGGATCTGAACCTCTTCTAGGCATTTTTGAGCAATGAACTTAGAAGTCTGAAGTGTGTTGTTTTTAACTGTTTGGCTTTTTATTATATTTTATTTGAATTTTCCTGTTGCATTTTAAGCTAATTACATTGTCCTAGTAACTCTACTCTGCAGAGGAGCCTGATACCACTGTTTTTTTAACATTTCTGTGTGTCATAGAAGAGTTGTCTCCCAGCTGATTAAATTTGAAAGGTTAACAACTGTGTTTATGCAGTCTTTTCTGTAGTTCCTATTTTCTAGATCTCTTGATTGTTTTTACTGACTTACCATAGTTGTTCTATATGTGACTGACATCTTTCTACAAGTTTAATCAAAAGCTAGGCATCCGAATTCCAGATGCAGCATAATTTGAATTAAGAGGAGTTCTTCTGTGTAACTTCTGTGGTATTTATACCTCATAGTCCAGTAATTCATTTTCTAAAAAGTATTGTCTCATGTTAATTTTTTGATCCAGTGTAAGACCTTAATCCTTTTCTGTGGCTCTACTTCCTTACCAGCTTTTCCAAATCATGTTTCATATAGTCAGTCTTTCCTTCCTAAGAGGATTTAGCATGTGACCCTGTTGAATAATTTTCAAGTTTTTTCACCAAAATTACTCCAAATTTTAAGCCTGTCCTTGGGTGAACTTCTGGTCAACTTAGTGTTCTCTTGAGATATAGTAGGCATACCTGCTATTTTGTCTTTCTAAAGACACTAAAAACGTTGAAGTGAAGTGCTGGATCATTTGATAAAAAGCTATAAAGAGCTACTCTGAAAATAATTTCTTAGCAGGTCCCCATTACGCTTGATAGTAATTGTTTTCATTCTTTGTTTCTGAAAGTATTGGTTGAGGTTGAGTTAGAAATCTTGCTAGGCAAGATGGCACATGCACTAAGCCGTTTTTCACCATGGCTTGCTATTCTGTTAAGAGAAATTATTCTCCCTTCTCTCTGTTGAGTAATTAAGCATGTTTTCAAATTAGCTAAGTTGCTTTAGGACAGACTGCTTCATAGCAGAAGCAATTACTTCTGTAAGTCTACTATATACATAGTTTAACCTGCTTTCAGGTGCACTTGAGGGTGTGATGAAACAAATGGATGGAAGCATAAGAATTGCTAATACTTTTTGGTCTCTTCAGTGGAATTTATAGTGTAACATTGCTTGTGCACATTCAGAATAAATCAACCTCATTAGGTAGATAATAAAACGTAAGTAAAGTTTTCGGGGTTTTTAAAATTATTTTGTTTCGTGTGTGTGGAACAGAGTTCTTTGTCACACCCATTGCGCTCTCAGCAGCAATGTCACTTTCATGACATCTCTAGAAGATGTCATAATAGTGTACAACATGTTCAAGGGAATACTTAACTATATAAACATAAGAAAGGTGGTAGATATACTTTTATAAGCATCAGCTTCTATCTACTTTATAATCACTTGTATCTTATGATTTCTTCTCTGTAACCTATAATAGTGTCATGCGTAACACATGAAAACTGTGAATTGTTTGTTTCATGTTAACTTGGATGCAGTGAACTACTTCACATCAGTAAGGCACCCTTTTAGCTATGTGCTGGGTCAAGCCGTTTTCCAAAAGTAGCCATGGGCCTATTTTTATTGCAGTATTACAAAAGAAGACTTACCAGCAGCAAGGGACGCCCCTAATTTCTTTTGCTGTGGCTGCTGTTGCAGCTTTATAGCTATCTTCTCGTGAGGTTTTCTGAGTAAAACCTTTCATTTCTGATCAGTAAGGTGGTTTCATAATATTGGTGCATAGTCCTGAGCTGTCTCTTTTATGTCTTGGGGAGTTGACTAGATCTCTTCCAAGGAGTTTTGCCTCATTCAGCAGCCACAGCTCTGATTGTGGAGTAGTTGCAGGCTCCTTTTAAGTTAGACCCTGAACTCTGTGCTGGTACATGGAACACTGGACAGTGTAGTACTGGTCCTGGCAGATGCCCCACAGGACCTCAAGGACAGTGTACCTCGAAGTCTGTATGCATGCCTGTACACTGACCAAGTATGTCAAGCTCCCTTCTTGCTAGGAGACCAAGTACCTGAGTTTGGAAGCAAGGGACAAAATAATAACAAAAGCCTACGTGATCATAGGTGGTATTTAGTGCGATTGTGCTGCTGCCCAAACCAGACTGTAATTCATTGACAGTCTCCCAGGAAAACTCTTAGACAGAAACGGGCTTCATCACTAGCTGTCGCTGCAGCCCACTGTTCTATAACTGTTGGCATGGCAACCATATTTCCTTTAAAAAAAAAAATCTGGAAGGCGGAGTTTGCTTCCTGATCCTACAAAACATTTATATTCTGGAAGTATTTCATGCTCTAGCAGATTCTGTCCCTGCACCACTTCTAACAGAACTGCAAAATACTTTGCTGGTTCCCATGGCATGTTTTTTTTGAGAGGGGTCATCTCCAAAGAATTTGATTGCCTGAGACAGGCTTCAGGAAACAGAGGATTTGTTTGAGTAGGTAAAAGATCCTTAAGACTGTTGCATCTGGTTTCAGCTTCTTATGCAATTTGATTGCTGACTAGGTGACATTAATAAAGTCTTAGTCTCTAGTTGTACTTGTTAATTTGCTTTATATGTTGGCCAGGGAAACAATTAGCAGCGTCTCATTTATGTCATGTAGACACATAAAAGTCATGCTTGTTTTGCTGATCTAAAAATTGTAAGTGAAATACATGCGTTTGGTTTGTAATTAGTCAATCTTACTTAAAGAAAAACAGTACTGGCTTTCACTCATACAGAATATCTGGTGAATACTGTTTAACATAGTCATGACATAGGATTTGTTTATGTTTACTAAAGTTTTATGGTATAATAAACTACCTAGCAGGAAAATTTGGGGGCAAGTTTTTAACTGTTTCCTCATCAATTGTAACTTTAACTTTCTGATTTTACACACTCTCTAATAGTCTGTTAACAGACTATTGATAGCAGAGATAGTAAATTTGGGTTACCTTGAAGGTAAAACTTGCTATAAATTACTAAAAGTTTTCAAGTTTTGTGTTTTCTGAGAGAGCTTTACTTCTACATATATAAATTCAGAATCAATACTAGGAAAGTATTTTAAGACGTATTTTTTTGTAATCTGGAATGGTGAAATTCGGTTTTACAGTAATGTTTTGCTGATGGATAGGGTCAGAGACAGACACCAACTTAAGGAATAGTGTAATTTACTACAATGCAAAACTGCAAAGAATCCAAAAGGATAAGCTAAGCAGTGCGTCTAATCATAACAACAAAAAATGCCTATAGTGATAAAGAAAGGTTAGAGATCCCTACTTTACCTTTCATCCAGATCTGCATATCCCAGGGTAGGTGTCACAGTGAAGGACTGGAGAACCAGGTCAGGCAACTGGGAAATCCTGCAGTGCATCCACCTTTGCAGGCAACAGCTCTTCTGACTTCACTATGAGAATAGCCCAGCTTTTATAATAAGCAAGCTACCGTTACTTCTAATGTAGGAACATCAGGTTTTATCCTCCTATTGGGTTTCTCCCAAAGCCTTACCAGGGCTCAGTAAGGTACCAAGGGAACTGTCTTTGATCCTCCACCCCCAAACAAGGCCAGGTGTGGCCTTGTCTGGTTTCTAAATACAGAAAGGTAAATCCATGTTTCGCCAATGAGCAGGTAC